CCAGCAGATGTTCTCCTTAATAGCAAACAAAGTGGCAATAACTTTCATTTAACACTGAATCTTTCACACAAACACACTCACAGATGGCTAGCACTGTAAATACATGTAAACTATTCTGCTCATCCACTACTAAAGGAGAAAATTATTTATTCATGTGAACAAACATGCTTTTGTCTCTCTCACTCCTGCTTCTTCATATCGAGCTGAATCTCTAGGCCTCGGAACATTTAACTTTAAAATCTGCGTATTGAATGCTATTACACTAAGTGCTGCTGATTCTGAATCCTGATTTCCCACCGGCGCAAATCTGACTTTAAGGTATTCTGGGAGATCAACTAGTCCAAATGGTCCAAGCTGGACACACATCTACTGAATAAATATTCTTGGATCCAATCGCAACAAAGTTAAATACAGATTAAATACAAATTAATGCTTTGAATTAAAGTTATAAAACTAATTCAGTCAAGAGCAGAGAGTGATTTTCTTTGTCATTTCTTATTTTATTAAAGGGTCATGAATCCCAAAACCAAAATTTCTGAGATTTTAACAGAAGTATGCGGTATGCGTTTGAACACCATTGAAGACAATGTTAGCATCTGTTAGATTTAATAGTAGGGTTAAAATGGTTACATTTAAAAAACTAAAAATGGGTTTAAAATCTTCATCGTGGCTGAAAGATTCGTTGCACTGCGAGTTTGTTGACTCATCGGTGTCTCATAATTATTAATGAGATTGAGTTTTCATATGAGAGAAGACACTCTCTTAATTATTCATGACACCACGTGGATCTTTCAATGACAGACATGTAAAAATTGTTTGTAGTTGTTTGTAGAAGTGAAGAATGGTGGACTTCGCCTTGTTGACAACCAATCCAAGTTGCGTCTTGCAAGTGATGCGGTATCCGAGGACTTTTCTATCCATTCAGAGGTTGTGTATATGGTGTATGCGTGCGTGTCTATTTAATGGAGATAATAGAGATGACAGATTTTTAACATGACAGAACGGCAGCAGGAATATTAGACTGCTGTCACTTTAAGAGTTTATGCACGGATCCAATATACTGTTACATAACATTCATTATCTTTCTCAACTATTTAACATTCAAAAACTGACTGTGTTTAACAGAATGTCTTGTCAAGACGTCATTTTGACATAATTTTGTGTGTATTTGCGTGTATCTGAAGCTCTAAGTATAGTTCGCTTATGCACGTTCCACTGCATATGCAGGAAAGGAAGGTGCACGAGACGGAATGCGGCAGTGGCACAATAATCGACGTCGATTATCTTGTTTTCATATCCGTTGGTAGGCAAAAACGAAAATCAATTATGGTATATAATGGGTTGGACACAGAAACGCATAAATTCGAGTCTGAGGAACTCTGCATAGCCGTAAGGAATGCGTTGATGATGTGTGACCGAATGCAATGATTGGACGAAAATTATTTGGTCCTGGGACTTCCACAGAAGAAATAATGTACATGTTTTAATATTTACATCACTTCTACTATTGATTGCTATCAGGACGTGAAGAGAGTTTCAAACCAGGTATAACAAAAAGTGGTTATAAAAAGAAATTGCCTACCCTACTTTTAACTAAGAAAGAAAGAAGAAAAAAATCACGCCATTTCAGCATGATAGCATCCATGAGGGGGTCAACCATTATGTAAAATAAAACAACATTTTCTATTAGTCTGACTGACACTGCTTGTCTATGACATGTCTTGTGATATTATTAAAGCCCTGTTCATTTTGTGTATGTAAAAACTTTAAATTTGCTATGTAGAGAGAGAGAGAGAGAGAGAGAGAGAGAGAGAGAGAGAGAGAGAGAGAGAGAGAGAGAGAGAGAGAGAGAGAGAGAGAGAGAGAGAAGCCTAGGCTACCTCAAACGCCCAAACAGACGCAAACTTTTTTTAATCAACGAAGCTGAACGTCCAGAACTAGGCGCGCGGACAGTGGGCTCTGTCTCGCGCGCTACACAGACAGCTTTGTTGGTTCCTCAACGACAGCGGTTGCGGTTTTGTCGCGTCGCTCTCTCAAGTATAAAAATGTTTGTAACCAAGGTTTAAACGGTGCCGACCGTGTATAAGTCATATCACAGTGATCACTGTTAGCCTAGCTGCAGCAGCAGCAGCAGCAGCTCTCATTAACTCACATGAGAAAGTTCAAGACTATTTTATTTTTTCATTAGAAAAAGCATAAGGACGCGTCAGCTGCCAGCAACCCGCCATGTAAACAAAAAGTCAAAGTACATGATATTGCACCCTGGTAAATTATGTAATTTCTCAAGGGTCCCAAAGTAGGGCAATAACATCTGAAAGTTGGAGTAAACTTCGCTTCTCTTATATTAGGCTACTTCATTTCTGCCCTATTTTTACTGGTTACTAGCAATCTGCTGTAGGCATAAAGAACAAAGAAGGACGACCCAACGCATTAAAGAGGGTAAAAACGCATAAAGCCTTAACGTTATTCATTTGTGAATACATCCGTTCTTTAGTGTAGTTGAAGTGTCCGGACTGCCAATCCCTTCCCCCGCTCACTTACTCCGTCTCTACACCGCCATATTTGCAGCCCTCACACGGCGCAACTATGTTTCCAAAGCACAATCAGATGATACACTGAAACAGCAGCTTACCTTAGCGATCGCTCTCCTGTACCGCATCGCGGCCTGCTGAACGAGCCAGTGCACTTTAATGTTGCCATCTCCGCAAGGAACCACGACTCGAGTTCTTCCAAAACACACCGTCACTTTCATAGTTCCAACTCTCCTTAGACCTTCCGAATCCAAGGGAAACTCGGGATCAAAGGCTCCAGTGCCCTGATGCCCAGATCATTAATAATCTTTGGTTCAGCACCTTGACGGTTTACTGTAAGTTACAATCGGTACCGTTCAGTTTCATCGCGGCGGTCGGGCGCTGTGTAGCGGTGTATGACCACCTGTTTAGTGTTTGGGATCTGTGTACGGGAACCCCGCCGTGTTCAGTCGGTTCGGGAGCAACGAAAACGAGCTTCTCGCGCCCTCTGGCGGTGGTAAATGTCACTGCATGTACTTGTAATGACAACATAAAGTGTTGTTTTCATTCTTTGTTTGTTTTTTTTTTTTCTCAGTTGTTTGCAGCTTTTGAAAAGTTTAGAAAACATGTTTAGGACCTGACATATATAGTGAAACATGCTAATATCAATTTGTGAGGGTTGGGTTGGGTCAGGTATAAGTCAGGGTCAGGGGTCGTCGCATTTAGTAGATGCAGAAATGCAATCACATTCTCTTAAAAATCAAATGACCTTCAGATTCTAGTAAAACCTCAAATAATGTCTTTTAGACAATTATTGCTCAATTAACAACCTCTCGAAATAATAGAGTTGTATGAAACGAACCTGCAGCATATAAATAACTATTAACAGGGATTTAAGATTTCACGCCCACTTGAGAGAGAATAATGACTTGACTTAGAATTGGCCTTGAAAAGACTTATGAAAACAATAAAACACTCAAAGTATGCCAGCATGGAGAGATAAAACGAAAATAAAATAAAATTAAGGATTAAGTTAGTCAATTTAATAATTTAAACATGAAAAAAATTAAGTAAATCACTTTATATGGACAGATTAATATAGATAACATTTGTACTTTATTGTAAAGTTTTGCTTTTGCTTGAGTTTTCTGAAAGGCGCCATATAAAATAAACGTATTATTTGTGTTATTATTATTTTATATGTGTATCAATCTGTCCATTTAAAAAGTGATTTATTTATTTACATTTTTATGTTTAGATTTTATTTATTTATTTATGAATTATTTATCATTTTTATTTATTTGTTTGTTTAAAAATGCATTGATTCATTCAATTATTTTGTTTATTTTAAAATATGAATTAAGTTTAAATATGTTTAAAAACTTAACTCATATTCTAAAATAAAATAAATGCCATTTGCTTTTCTTTGTCATTTTATTTCCTTTTTTTTTAATGCTGTAGGCTAAACTTATTGCTTCATTTTATTTTTAAATATCACTCCTATCATTTGTCAGTGTCAGCATGTGGACATTAGCTTCCAGACATGCGGACAATTGTGTGTGTGTGTGTGTGTGTGTGTGTGTGTGTGTGTGTGTCTGTGTGTATACACATTTAACTTTCTGCTTGTATGACAAAGCTGTACTAAAATAGAAACATGGGAACACAAAAAACACACTCAGGGCCTGATTCAGATTAAGTTCTACACACCCAGTTGAGGGAAGCTTTAGAGGAACAGCTGCAGGATTAGGTCCGCATGCTTTGATCTACGTCTGAGGCATGATGACCAGATGCTCTCGATCCATTACTAAAGAACTGAAGTACTGAAGCAGAGAACCGTTCTACCGACCCTCTGCCTGTCAGTCCTGTGAGTTTCTGTCTGCATGTTTAAAGCCATGAAGTTTTATCTTTTATCCCAGAGGTGGAGTCTACAGTGACTCATCATTTATGGATGAGCATCTGCTTTTCGCTGACATAGTCAGTGCCTCCTCCTGTTTTTCAGTTATCAGGTGGTGTCCAGTCCAACAAATTTGGCAAATAGTTTACAACAAATGCAATCAACACTAACCTGTGAGTTCTTTGCACAACATGTTACATTGCAACCTCAAAGTGTCAATCGCTTGCAACAAACAACTAAATCTATCTATCTATCTATCTATCTATCTATCTATCTATCTATCTATCTATCTATCTATCTATCTATCTGTCTGTCTGTCTGTCTGTCTGTCTGTCTGTCTGTCTGTCTGTCTGTCTGTCTGTCTGTCTGTCTGTCTGTCTGTCTATCTATCTGTCTGTCTGTCTGTCTGTCTGTCTGTCTGTCTATCTATCTATCTATCTGTCTGTCTGTCTGTCTGTTTGTCTGTTTATTTATAGCTTTCTGTCTGTGTAACATTACACATCATGTTACATCAACCGAGAAATGACGTCGTCCTTCTAGCGCAAGGTGGCGCTACTTCATCAAACTTCTTACTGTGATTTATATTTTATTTAAAAACATTTAAGATTATTTTTAATAACTGAAATATTATACATTTTATATTTTTATTTTTAGATTTTAAGTTATTTATTTATCTTTATGTAGGCTAAGTCTGATGAGTCTGGATCACTGCTCGTTATTAAATTCGATTCATTTTTATTATAAAAGTCTCAGATACATTACTTCATTATGGAAATAAATTCATTTTAATGAATAGGACAGTTTATGGCATTTGGTGAGTGACAGCGGCCTTTTGGCGCCTAGGCTCCGCCCAGCATGTGTTTGTTTGTGTGTGTGTGTTGTCGGGGCCTCCGGCTGGATAGTTCACATTTCCCAGGCGCATCATCAGGGCTGACGTGGGCTCTACGTGTGCAGCGAGTCGGGCTTCCTCTTCACCCGTAACGAGTGACGAGACTCTACGTAGAACTCGGGTAAGTTATTGTTGGCATGTCGATCTGCTGCCACTGGAGTGAAGAGTATCTGGAGATGAGCGCAGACGAACATGACATGTAGGCTAGCTGCTGTTAAATTAGTTTATCAAATCTAATATGTGCGCGAGGCGAAGCTGTTCCAAGTTTAAAGAGCGCTACTGTTGAAAATAAAATAAAACTGCAAACAACGCGCAGGTTTCATATTCTGAATGTTTTAGACTATTCGTCTGAATTAAGCTGAAACATATTTTAACTACGAAAGCAAATAAATTCAGGTTTGGCTATATTAAAAATTAAATAAGGCTGTGGAGAATGTACGCAGCTTGATCCAGGAATGTTCCAGTATAACAGTAGCCTACACAGCTTGCCTAAAAAACTTAAAAAGTTTGCAAGTTGCTTTACTGCTGTATTCATTTGCGAGCCCATGAATGTTTCAAATGTGTCATATCCTCGTGCCACCGCTTGCTGTTACATAAGCGCGAGCTGTTCAAAGTTTGCGCGCGTTTGTTTCTGTCAGAAGAAACAGAAGTTAAGAGAGCGCTGACATAATACCACAGCCATAAATCGACATGAAGACGCAATCTCAATAAACTACTAAAGCAATCGAGTAAAATATATTTCCTCATAAACTGTACGAGTCTGCTTTTGTATAATAATTAGAAGTGTGTGCACTGTCAAGAAGCAGAGACAATAAGGAAGTGCAGTGCACGCGGCCGTTAGAGCGCGCTCGTTCCTGTGTGCCTGACGTGAAATGTTTAATTAGGCTACCCATAAAAAAAAAAACTACTGTTAAATTACATAAGCCATTTTTTACATATTATTTTTTTATATATATATTTTAATTATTTTTTTATGTTTACCTGCAGCAATTTAATTCTTGCAGTGTTGAATGGAATTTAATTTGTTTTCCCTTCAAGTTCTTTAGATATTATTGAAGCTTTTGCCGCCTCAACTTTTTTTTTCCATTTTTTTTTTCATGCATTTTTCACTTCTCTCAAGATTTTGGAAAGGATGAAAACATGAACATATCAACACAAACACTCACTAATAGGCTACCAAAAAGTTGTATTGCTTTAAATCTTGGACCACTGGATTGCCAAACCTTTGGCTGAAATGATGGATTATTGAATCAAATGCAATTTGGGCTGTTTAAAATCTTGTGACATATGACTCTTCAGAGCGCTGACTGTGCATTTCCTCTCTGCTCTGTTGCTAGGCCGATCACCATGGAAACTGCAACCATAGCGCAACAGGAAGCCAGTGCAACTCAGAAAATAACAAGTGAGATACAGTCAGATTCTGACTCACTCACACAGGTACAGATATGACGCCTGTTTCATTTAATATATAAAGATCAAGCCAAACTGAACTCAAATACATGAATGTTTGAATAAACTAGGGAAAGTGAATGAATGAAGCATTTATATACCATTTTATTATGTACTATTGTACTCCCAAAGTGCTTTATCATATCAGGAGTCTCTCCTCATCATATTAATAACATGGTATTACCATAAAAAAAAAAACATGGTATTATTTTGATAGTGTCCAAAAACATGATAATATCCTGGTACTTGATGTGTGTTGATAGACAGCAATATTTACAGATTAAATGAAAAAAAAAAAAAAGATATTGAGCAAAAATTGTGCAAAATGTGACTTTATTGTATTTAAAATATGTTATTTTTGTATTATTTATACACTATTAAAGTATTAATATTTGCATTACTCAACTTTATATTGTTTGTTTTAATTTTAGTTTGAGGTTTAGATTTTTTATGTGCTTTTGCACATTAAACACACTTTTTATGTTTTTATTTAGCTTTATTTTTACAATTTTAGTATTTCTAATCAAACTTATTTTATTTTACTTAGTTGCTTATTGTAGTTAAGGTAGTTGTTTTCGTAGAATTGATCAAATATTTATATTTTTATTTATTAATAATAATAATATTAATTAATTATTATTATTAATTATTATTTTTTATTTAATTTCACTTTTAATTAAATTAATTGTGAAAGATATTTTTAGTTACAGTTCCGCCAAAGTTGACAATTCTGTCATCATTACTCACCCTAAAGTTGTTCCAAACCTGTGTGAGTTTGTTTTTTCTGTTGAACACAAAATAACATATTTTAAAGAATTAAACAGTTGTAGGTCAATGACTTCCATAAGAAAAAAAAAATAGGTAACACTTTAGTTTAGGGTCCAATTCTCACTGTTAACTAGTTGCTTATAAGCATGAATATTACTAAGATATTGGCTGATTATTAGTACTTATAAAGCATATATCAATGCCTAATTCTGCATGACCATATTCTACATCCCTTAATCCTACCCAATACCTAAACTTAATGTAACTACCTTACTAATCATTAATAAGCAGTCATTAGGTGTTTACTGAGGCACAAGTCATAGTTAGTTAATAATGAGAATTGAACCCTAATCTAAAGTGTGACCAAAAAATACCATGGAAGTCAATGGCTACCTCTTTTATGTTCAACAGAAGAAAGAAACTCACACAGGTTTGGAACAACTTGAGGGTGAGTAAATGATAGAATTGAACAAAACACTGGGTTAAACAGCCTCAGACATGTCTTACCTCTCTGTCTGTCTCTCTCAGGTGAACGAAGGTGTAGCTGTGGTGTCATTACCTAATGGACAGCCACTACAAGTGCAGGGAGTCATTCAGTCAACACAGCCCTCTGTTATACAGTCACCTCAGATACAAACTGTGCAGGTACACACATACAGGTTTTTTATATGTAATACATTTGAACAGGGCTGGTGTAAATATAAGCCTTAGAAAAAGTTACCATCTACACAGTCCACACTTATTAAACCATAATGTGTGCTGTTCTGTGAGCTCAATTCAAGCACAATCCTGTTATTCATTTACCAGTTCCTTCACCTGGAGAGACTGACCAATCACATTGCAGGCAGTTAGAGCTGTAGCCAATCACAGGGGACATTTACTCATCCTGGGATCAATGGGATGAAGGAGAAGCAGATTGACATAGTAACAAGAAGAGTGAGAGTAGCTGTATAGAGCAGTAATGAGATTTGTGTGAGAGTCAATGCAACTGATCTTCTTGGTCACACACACACACACACACACACACGCACACACAAAGCCCACGTCAGACAAAACAAATCTGCTCAGGAGAAGATAGAAGACTCATGGTCACTTGGCACAATTGTAATAGTGACACACATGTAAAATACATATTTGATCAAGCACTAAAAATGGATTTTGAAAGAATATCCTCTTTTTTCATTCAGTGAAGCTGTAAAATGATAATAAAGCGTTCTATATAGTCTGTATGACTGCTGAGCTAATACTAATGATTTGCGTTAGGAAGGCTAATTTGGCATTAAGGCGAGGACATATGTGTGTTTGAATGTTTTTAGGTAGCTTCTGATACTGCCGGTCCGGGTACAACTCCATCAGATTCTCAGAAGAGGAGGGAGATTCTGTCCAGACGCCCGTCATATAGGTGAGATGTTTTAGTATTATTCATAAACTATTTTAGTATCTTTTACTTTTATATTTTCAGTTTTAATTTCAGTTTAAGTTTTAGTCATTTTAACGTGCTTGTGTCATTTTTATTCACTTTAAAAAATAATTAAAATTAATTCATTTTTATTACATTATCATATTCAATAACATGCTAAAACTATTACTATTTCAAGAATTGTCGAATTTCAGTTACTAACGAAAAGGCAACATTTCTGATTTTAATTTACATTTTTTGTTAGGTCAAAATGTTTCATCTATTTATAATAGATTTTTTCAACTAATTTGAATTACCTAAAAATTGTTTATAATAGTATAAGTTCAGTTAACACACTGAACCAATCAGATATCTCTAAACTTGATATTATTTATTTGTGACCGAAACTGATATCTGCATTGTCAGATAAAGATGTTTTAATTTAAATGTATTTTCAGGAAAATTCTTAATGAGTTGTCATCAGATGTACCTGCTGTGCCAAAGATCGAGGAAGAGGAGAGAGTTGAGGAAGAAGCCCCGCCCACCTCTAGTGTTGCTACGGTGACGGCACCATCTTCAGTCTACCAGACCAGCTCTGGGCAATACAGTACGTCTGAGTTCATTGCTCAAATAATTATCTCATTATGCGGCATGACGTGTGAATTTAAGTTATTATTACCCTTAAAATTAAAGGGTTTTGTTGTTCATCAGCCCTTTCTTACAAAACAGCACGTTAGATATTGCACAAATATTGCCCAAATTTAAATGTCTTCCAAATGTCAAGTTGTCATTACCAAGACACTGATGGGTTATGGTGTATTGGTTTATGTCAAGTTGTCATTACCAAGACACTGATGGGTTATGGTGTATTGGTTTATGTCAAGTTTTCATTACCAAGACACTGACAGGTTATGGTGTATTGGTTTACAGTATGTAAAGTTGTCATTACCAAGACACTGACGGGTTATGGTGTATTGGTTTACAGTATGTCAAGTTGTCATTACCAAGACACTGACGGGTTATGGTGTATTGGTTTACAGTATGTCAAGTTGTCATTACCAAGACACTGACGGGTTATGGTGTATTGGTTTATGTCAAGTTTTCATTACCAAGACACTGACAGGTTATGGTGTATTGGTTTACAGTATGTAAAGTTGTCATTACCAAGACACTGACGGGTTATGGTGTATTGGTTTACAGTATGTCAAGTTGTCATTACCAAGACACTGACGGGTTATGGTGTATTGGTTTACAGTATGTCAAGTTGTCATTACCAAGACACTGACGGGTTATGGTGTATTGGTTTATGTCAAGTTGTCATTACCAAGACACTGACGGGTTATGGTGTATTGCTTTATGTCAAGTTGTCATTACCAAGACACTGACGGGTTATGGTGTATTGGTTTATGTCAAGTTGTCATTACCAAGACACTGACGGGTTATGGTGTATTGCTTTATGTCAAGTTGTCATTACCAAGACACTGACAGGTTATGGTGTATTGGTTTATGTCAAGTTGTCATTACCAAGACACTGACGGGTTATGGTGTATTGCTTTATGTCAAGTTGTCATTACCAAGACACAGATGGGTTATGGTGTATTGCTTTATGTCAAGTTGTCATTACCAAGACACTGACAGGTTATGGTGTATTGGTTTATGTCAAGTTGTCATTACCAAGACACTGACGGGTTATGTTGTATTGGTTTATGTCAAGTTGTCATTACCAAGACACTGACGGGTTATGGTGTATTGGTTTATGTCAAGTTGTCATTACCAAGACACTGACGGGTTATGGTGTATTGGTTTATGTCAAGTTGTCATTACCAAGACACAGATGGGTTATGGTGTATTGCTTTATGTCAAGTTGTCATTACCAAGACACTGACGGGTTATGTTGTATTGGTTTATGTCAAGTTGTCATTACCAAGACACTGACGGGTTATGTTGTATTGGTTTATGTCAAGTTGTCATTACCAAGACACTGACAGGTTATGGTGTATTGGTTTATGTCAAGTTGTCATTACCAAGACACTGACGGGTTATGGTGTATTGGTTTATGTCAAGTTGTCATTACCAAGACACAGATGGGTTATGGTGTATTGCTTTATGTCAAGTTGTCATTACCAAGACACTGACGGGTTATGTTGTATTGGTTTATGTCAAGTTGTCATTACCAAGACACTGACGGGTTATGGTGCATTGCTTTATGTCAAGTTGTCATTACCAAGACACAGATGGGTTATGGTGTATTGCTTTATGTCAAGTTGTCATTACCAAGACACTGACGGGTTATGTTGTATTGGTTTATGTCAAGTTGTCATTACCAAGACACTGACGGGTTATGTTGTATTGGTTTATGTCAAGTTGTCATTACCAAGACACTGACAGGTTATGGTGTATTGGTTTATGTCAAGTTGTCATTACCAAGACACTGACGGGTTATGGTGTATTGGTTTATGTCAAGTTGTCATTACCAAGACACAGATGGGTTATGGTGTATTGCTTTATGTCAAGTTGTCATTACCAAGACACTGACGGGTTATGTTGTATTGGTTTATGTCAAGTTGTCATTACCAAGACACTGACGGGTTATGTTGTATTGGTTTATGTCAAGTTGTCATTACCAAGACACTGACAGGTTATGGTGTATTGGTTTATGTCAAGTTGTCATTACCAAGACACTGACGGGTTATGGTGTATTGGTTTATGTCAAGTTGTCATTACCAAGACACAGATGGGTTATGGTGTATTGCTTTATGTCAAGTTGTCATTACCAAGACACTGACGGGTTATGTTGTATTGGTTTATGTCAAGTTGTCATTACCAAGACACTGACGGGTTATGGTGTATTGGTTTATGTCAAGTTGTCATTACCAAGACACAGACAGGTTATGGTGTATTGGTTTATGTCAAGTTGTCATTACCAAGACACTGACTGATTATGGTGTATGGTGATGTATTGGTTTAGTGTTACCCACTTGGGATTTGTCATAGCAAGTGTTTGGGAAAGTAAAGATAAACTGTATTTTTGTTTTGTGTCTTTGCAGTAGCATTCACTCAGGGTGGAGCGATACAGCTGACCGGCCCTGGAGGAGAGGCCTTGCAAGGGGTTCAGGCTCTGACTCTTCCCAGCCCTGCCACACCCCAGCCCGGGGCCACTATCCTGCAGTACGGCTCCCAGCCTGGAGACCCTGGCCAACAGCTACTGCTAAGTGCTGGACAGGTGCTCGTTCAGGGTAAGACACTGGAACTTTTATGAACGTTTATGACTGGATCTTTAAATGCTTTAATCTGAACCACATTACTTCTCTTTTGATGTCAGTCAGACAGAAAGAAACAGAAAGACAGAAACCACTTTTGAATAAGAAACTTCTAAAATAAGAAACATCTAAACTCGTCAAAACTATGCAAAACACAACAAGTGTATTGGTTAGTACACTCATTTAAACAGCATACACACACCAGTCCTGAACATTTGACTGCACATACAATTTCTGACATATTGATACAGCTTTAAACAATCATTATGCAACGGAATGGTCTACGGGACATACATTACGCCTTTAATTAAAGCTGCAGTCCTCAGTTTTTCCTCTTTGTCACCATCTCTGTTCGAAATCTGTAATTGCAGTTATTCACGGACTTATTAACTTTATGTCAGTTGTACATCAGCATGAAACAGCGCGGATGTTTTATTTTAAGGGTTCAAGTCATTTTACTGAAAACAATAAAAATACTTAGAAAGACTTAGAGAAAATGGCATGTTGTGAATGAAGTGTTCATCTAACATTTTTTCCCTCAAAGTGACTATAATGTTTTTTGTGTTTGTTAGCTGAAATAAAAGTAACTAAGAATAAATGTTTTATACTTTGGTCCTGGTAAAATTGTAATATTTACAAAGAGTTGGAACATTTAAACTCCTGCAGCTCTGAGCAGAAGAGATCATGAGAATAGATACATTGTTTCAAAAGATTTCAGACCTATTCATCTATGTAAACAGAGTAATATGACGACTGTGTGTGTGTGTGTGTATGACCATTTCAGATGCCTGTAGTGTTATGAGGTGAAATGGGCACAGTATCCTTTTGTTTGCTGCAATGCTTCTGCGTCATCATGTTCTAAAAATACATACTCAATAACGTATCCCTCCTTCTCTTGTCTTCTTCCCTTCTCTTTTACCATGAACTTTTCTTTTCAATTCTGTGCAGTTGCAGTCTTGTTAGAAATCAGTTTTAATGTTCCTCAGGCCATGATTTCAAGAATAGAAGTTTAATCACAAACCTAGTGTCTTTCTCTCAGTCTCTCTCTCTCTCTCACACACACACACACATCGTGGGTGCGGGGAGGGCATTCTCAAGAGAGAGTGTGTTATTTCCCTGTGAGACTGCCGTGATGTCATAGTGATGTCAATGCCCTTAATAGTAACCTGTAATCTGACTGAGAGAGAGAGAGAATGACGAAGGGAGAGAGAGAGAGAGAGAGGGAGAGAGAGGAAGGGAGGGTTAATGGCAAAACATTAAGTGTCACAACTCAAACTAAGACAGTCAGAAAGAGTGTATGAGAGAGAGAAAGTCACTCAGTGAACCGGCTGAAAGGAAGAGAGAGCTTTAAGAGGAAATACAGAAGATAGTGCTCAAAAGACAATCACAACTGGATTACTACAGCATAGAGATGGCAGTGACCGGGGAAGAGACCGAGTCAGGTGAGAGATGTGCGTGTGTGTGTGTTTTATGAGGGAAAAGTCAGTGATGCTGAAGTGCCTGTATTTTGTCATTTGGTAAATAAGCTAGTTGCATGATGAAATAGACATTGCTTTGTATTGTTTTTTGAGTGAATATCGGTAGTTAAACTTAGCCTTTTACTAGTACATTTAAATAATGTGGTGTAATAAATAAAATGATCTATAAATTCCATGTAGTTCTTTAATGTAAGTATATAATAATAATGGATGTATAATATTAATTGTAATTATATTTATAAATATTGTAATCATTATAAACATATAAAACTAGACAATAATAATTTACATTTTTCATATGGAGTGATGACTGCAGAAAATGTCAACAATCTCAAAAGTAATCAATGTAGTGAATATAATATTAGATTATTTATTTAATATAGGGAATATTACAATCCTGCAACACTGATAAAAATGAACAGAAGTTATATCATGTGCGAAAGTTTGTAAACACTTTGAGAAAGTGGGACATCGGACTGTGGGATATTGACACTTTTGCATGTAGTTGAAACTTTCTTCTCAGTCGTAAACACTCATTGACATGCTCCTGTTTTACGAAATCAGGCTGCAAATCTGCCGGTCTATTCACACACATGAATCATTGAGAGAAAGAGAGAGGCAGACAAAAGCAGAGAGAGAATGAGGGGGGAGGAAGGGAGGAGCTTTCTGTTTGACGTCAGTCTGTTTCCTGGAAGCCTGCCGAAGCCGAGACGGAGAGAGAGAGAGAGAAGGGGGGAGGGAGTGAATGGGCCGGGGGTTTGGGCAACGACGCACACAGTGACATCAGCAGTTTGTCACATTGTCTGATAACAAGCGCACACACACACACACACACACACATCCACGTTAAGTCAAGGCATATCCAGTTTGTTGAAGGACGTTTACTGCTGGGAACATTGACTGATAGCTGCATTAAAACTCTCTGTTCTGCACCAGTGACCTTATACTTAGATTTGGGGTTTTGAATGTTACTTCAGGTACTTTTAATGTTGTTTGTGTGGGTGGATGTGAAAGTTTTTATATAACTGCTTGTTTGTTGTTATTGTTTTGGATTTATTACATAAACTAATGAGTCCAATTAGACCTGCTCTTTTAAGCCTGGTTACAATAGAAGTCAAAGCTGATTGATTATTTGCAGTTTCATGTGCCTCTTTATTAGTCTGCTTTATTTGTAAGTGTCAAAAAATTATTATTTTTTTTATTTTCTCTAGATAACAACTTACTTTATGGGCTCTGTTTGCTTTCACATGTTTGGAAATTAACAGTAATAATAATGATAAATTATTAATAATTATAAAAAACTTTTACACTAAAAGATTTTACACTAATTTTTTTTTATTAGACACAGATAAAACATTTTTCAGATTAAACCAGAACTAGAATTGCAAAAATAATGATTATTATTATTACATACTGTTTTCTCAAGATAACAACAATTGTGATTTCTGTTTGTTTCCATATGTTTGGAAATAATAATAATAATAATTAATAAAATTAATAATAGTAATTGTTGGTGTTGTTTAGTATAGACCTATACACTTAATTATACTTATAACTTAATATGAAATTATGCACTTAATCTTTTATTTTTTATTTATTTAGGGTCTTAGCTCAAGTCCATATATCACCTCTGATCTACATTTTTCATTTATTTGCAGATGAAACCATAACCAGAATTGAACAAATAATGATGATTATCATTATATTTTCACGATTTACTCAGCTCTTTGCTTCTATATGTTTTGACATAATAATACAATTAATAAATAAAATTATTATTATCAATAATACAGAATTATACACTTTATTTAAAAAAAAAAATATATATATATATATATATATATATATATATATATATATTACGTCTTAGCCTAAGCATACAGTATATCACCACTGATCTAAATTTTTCATTCATGGGTTTTCAGATATAATTAAACCATCAAAATATTATATGTTGCATCACTTGACCATCAATTATTGGTAACAACATTTTACAATATAGTTGTAAATGCTAACATAAACTAAACAATATTTTGAACAATATTTTTTTTTATCAAAATCAGTTTAATTTCTAAATATATTATTGTACATTTTAGTTTCTAATGCATTAATGTTAATGTTAACATTAACAGAAATGAACATTAACTTTGATTAAGATGATGTAAATATATTATTCATTGCTAGTTCATGTTGTCAACTATTGTGTTAATAGTTGTGTTAATTGTGTTTATAGTTCCAATTTCATTGTAAATCAATAATACAACCAAACTTTAAAATGTTACCCTTTCATCTGTCAAAATTTCTAATGCATTTTGGTGTATTTGTGCATGTAGCTGCCACAGGAGACATGCCAGCGTATCAGATCCGCTCCCCGTCGTCCGGGTTACCACCAGGTGTCGTCATGGCAGCGTCGCCGGGGGCCATGCACAGCCCACAGCCAAATGCAGAGGAGGCCACACGCAAGAGGGAAGTCCGCCTGATGAAGAACAGGTACGACACACCTGAGTTTCAATGTGTGCATGTGCATCAACTCGTGCACTTTCTTTTAGGGGGCTTAACTATCTCTTTAAGCCTGCTCGTGTTTGACCTTTTATTTGCGTGTTGTAGGGAGGCGGCGCGTGAGTGTCGCAGAAAGAAGAAAGAATATGTCAAGTGTTTGGAGAATCGCGTCGCTGTGCTGGAAAACCAGAACAAGACTCTCATAGAGGAGCTCAAAGCTCTCAAAGACATCTACTGCCACAAGCCAGAATAGCCCTCACAAACACTGCGCAAGGACTGTGTGATACACAAACTACCTGTCTCCTCTCTTCTTCTGTCGCACCGCCTGGATTTGATCGTTTTCGCTCGTTTGTTTAGCCAAATGTTTTTTTATAAGAAGTTGCTAACGTTGCTTTGAGGATGCTGAGGTCTTCTGCTGTCTGCAGTTTATCCTCTTTCTCTCTCACACACACACACATTTTAAGATTGGCATATATTATTCCTCTTCTCTGTGTTGCGAAAAAACTGGAACTCTTCATTGATATGTGTGGAAAATGTATGTGCTTTACTTTAAGTTGAACTCAAGAAATGCAAAGATCATTTAGTAGATGTTCACTGGTTGCACACTGCTCACGTAGGCAGCATGTTAACAGTTTTGGCGCATAAATTTGGAGAAAATACGCTGCAAGCCCATTTGAAGCAACATAAAATAATGGAGTGATATACTTATTAACTGTTTGATGCAGGTTACATTTGTAGTAGATGTTTATTGGATGTATGTTGGGTCCTTTTCCTCATGTAAATTAGATTTCAATCACATTTGTACATTTCAATATTTATTTTATAATATGGTTTATTAATAAATAAATAAATAAATAAGTTAATGTAGTACCCCAGAAATCACTATATTTTCTGTATAGATTCCAGATTCAGGTCATGCTGTTTATGTGTGCAGTGTGAAACACAAGTTTCCACATAGTAGTTTTTAAATCTGTGAAATTATGTGTGTTAGATGGATTAAACTGTTTTAAGTTGTTAATTAGCAGTCATGAGCTCATGGCTGAATGTAACAGTGACACATAACTTCGCCAAGAAACGTGACATAATGTTGATGATTGCATGGTGACATGGTGCTTAAAGGGATAGTTCACCCGAATATGTTGTGTGCACTATTTTTCTTCTGTGGAAAACAAAAGATGATTTTTTTTTGTTTAAATGTCACATTGCTGTTGTTTTTTGACCATGCAACCAAAGTGGTGTCCAATGTTTTTGACCCTGTTGTTGTTCTTCAAAATATACTCTTGTTTTCCACAAAAGAAAGTCATACAGGTTTAGAATGACATGAGGGTTAGGTATGTTAAATGATGGCAGAAATTTTAAAATCTCTTTTAGACGGCTCTTAACTCCCTTTATTTATATTATATCACACAGATTTACTTTTATTCATTCAGCACACTTTTATTCAAAAAGTGTACAAATAAGAAAAAACATAAGCACAAGCACACCTCTGTCAATTGCCTCATGTCTGTAATTTAAAGTGTTTGTTAATATGCAGACAAACTATAATTTAGTAGGTTTGGTTTGATCCATTTGTTGGTTGATTGCTCTGTTTGTTTGAGCATCCCAAAATAGCAACATTGGATCAACCAATGGAGTGAGTTTGAGGCGGAGCTACCCATTTGAAAATATTATTTTTATATATATATAGGCTATATATAGCCTATCTGTGCTCCGATTGATAAAATGTGAGGAACAGTACATTTTGCATGGTGAAGGAAGGACAGTGGTGTAACATTATGAATTGTGGATGTTACTTACATGTAGGTGAATGTCACAAAAATTGCTTTTGATGTAATATTATATATTATCTCAGTACTAGTGAATTTCTTTTTCATTGTTTATTATAATATTAGAAGTGAAGTATGGAAGTAAAGAGCTATTTATGAGTAATATAAGTGCTAGTTCTTTAAGTCAGACAGGTGGCACTAACTCATATTTCAGCTGTTGGGATGCCTATGTGTGTGTGTGTGTGTGTGTGTATCTTCTGTTTATCAGATTGCTAGTCATCATGACTTCATCTTCACTTACAGCCAATCATGTTTCTGTGTTTTGACGCTGTTCTATTTTATGTAGTCTGGTCAGAAAATGGATTTGGTTTGATATATAAATAATAGATTATGTTTTCAATTAACCTCTTAATTAGACTCTTATTGATTGATGTTAATATAACATCAAGATTGTATGCCCTGCCTTTCTTTAACACTGTACAGAGCGCTGACATCTATTTTTAATAAAATATTTTTGTAAATGTATCTTCCCTCATGGTCAAACCTGAATTTGTGTACAGGTCTTTTTAGGGTGTTGTTTTTTTAACTAGCTGTATATTAAAACAGTATGACTGTCCCAGTTTAGATAAGTTTGTGAAATCCTAAAAAAAATATTTGCGCATACTTAATGTATTTTTGAACAGATCCCTGAGTGTGACCTTCAAGATTAAGAATTTGTTTTATCTGAACATGCTGAACAAGTACACATTCTTAACCAGAAGTGTGGTTGGTCTGGTCTGTTTGCTATTTTAGCAGGGAGATTAGCTTGCTAACCAGCTAAACTGCATTAACACCAGCTGGGCCTAACTGGGAATCAGTTTAAACCATCCAGCAAAAAACTTATTCTGCTTTGGTTCAGACAGGTATCTCAAAACTAATAAAACTAAAATATTTCAGCATACTTGTTTCTGTTTGTTTGTCTTTACACGTATAGTCAATGTATAGCTAAAGCATCTTTATCTGTTTTTAGCTTTATCTGAACGTCGAATATGAGTGTTTTTTTTTTATACTTTTGTAATCAGCACGAAGTGATGTTTTTTGAATATTGCATTACTTGAGGACGGGCTGGGCGCTAGAATGTGCTGTGTCATGCGTTTGGGCACGGACAGGATAAACATGGAAAATTCCACAGTGTGTTAGAGCGCTCTCTACTGGAACGCGATAGTTTTACAAGCTCGAAAACTGTGTTCCTGTACGACACTGTCATCTAGTGGACGTTAACTACAAGGCAAGCCGGTTTTACATTTATTATTAAAAAATATATATTAAAATGATACTAGTGAGTATTCTTAAACGAATAGTATACGTGATCCAAATACCAGTAGTATTTAAATAGTAGGCCTACATCACAATTGTATTCTTTAAATCATACCATATCAATCCCAATGCATAAACATTTAATTCTTTCAAGAGTTAGAAAGATATCAAATTAGCTCTCTGTAGAGCTTTGCACTCTTGCACTGTCTGCCCGGGTCTGTCTATTATGGTGTTCTTACAGTTGACATATAGGCTACATGTTTCTTTACCGTAAATAGCCAGTAGCACCATTGCAGTACACGAGATCCAGGGGGCGGAGTCGGATCCAGATCTGAGGGGTGGAGTTGGGTAGGTTTAGGGGTGGGTTTAGGTATCAGGGGCTCAGGGGCAGAAGCAGGAAGCGCCGGAGTTCGGAGAAAACGAAATTCAAGCAGTTGTACACGACCTCTCTACACAACAAAATGGCAGACGCCTGTATTTTATGGTCTCGGGATACATTTAACTGTTCAATCTGTCTGGATCTACTGAAGAATCCAGTGACCATTCCCTGTGGACACAGTTACTGTATGAACTGTATCACAGGCTGCTGGGATCAGGATGATCAGAAGGGAGTCTACAGCTGCCCTCAGTGCAGACAGACCTTCACTACAAGACCTGTTTTAGGTAAAAACACCATGCTGGCTGAAGTGGTGGAGAAACTCAAGATGACAAACCTACAAGCTCGTCCTGCTCAGTGTTACACTGAATCTGGAGATGTGGAGTGTGACGTCTGTACTGGGCACAAAAACAAAGCCATCAAGTCCTGTCTGGTGTGTCTGAACTCTTACTGTCAAAATCATCTGGAACAACATGAGATTTTCTTCAAAAGTAAGAGACACAATCTAATGGACGCCACTGGACGACTTCAGGAGATGATCTGCCCTCAACATGACAAACTGCTGGAGATTTACTGTCGTACTGATCAACACTGTATATGTTACTTGTGTATGTTGGATGAACACAAAAACCATGACACTGTTTCAGCTGCAGCAGAGAGGACTGACAAACAGGTATGATTTGAATTGCCTTATAACAGCTATATAAATGAAGGTCATTATACAAAAAAAAAACAAAAACAATATAAAGATTCTTTGCAGCTATTTAGGTTTGTGAAAATATTACTGTAAACTCACACAAAATTGTACGTTATATTAGCATGCAGTAATATAAGGTGGGGATTATTTGTCATTCCTGCAGAGAAAATTGGGTGAGATGCAAAGAAAATTCCAGCAGAGAATCGAGGAGAAACTGAAGGAGCTTGAGGAGCTGAGAGAGGCTGTAGAGACTCACAAGGTGAGTTTAGAGCAGAAGAACTGCTTCACACTCAGTTAGGACTCTCCTCCAGTCAGTCTACTACTGTGAGGAGCCAGTGCTGGAGCTCTTTCAGTCCCCCTGAAGCCCACTGTGGGGAACAGGCTGTGTGAGGGACCAGTAAGAGCTGAGTGAATGGACTGGTTCTAATGCGTGTGTGTGTGTGTGTGTCCTAACAGCGCTCAGCACAGGCAGCAGTGGAGGAGAGTGAGAGCATCTTTACTGAGCTGATCCGCTCCATTGAGAGAAGCCGCTCTGAGGTGACACAGCTGATCAGAGAACAGGAAAAGACTGCAGTGAGTCGAGCTGAAGAACGACTAGAGCAACTGGAGCAGGAGATTGAGGATCTGAGGAAGAGAGACACTGAGATGGAGCAGCTTTCACACACAGACGATCACATTCAATTCATCCAGGTAACAAAGATCTGACAAACAGGACAGTGTCTTTAGGAAGGGAAGAGATTGTGTTTTCTATCAAATGTTTCTGTGTCTTTAGCTGGTGTTTTTATTGTGTCTGTGTAGAGTTTCCAGTCTCTCTCAGTCCCTCCTGGATCTACAGACTCAGCCATCAGTTCTCGTCTCACTTTTGATGATGTTGGTAAATCTGTGTCTCATCTGAGAGAGAAACTGGAGCATTTATGCAGAAAGCAAATAGAAAAGATATCTGCCAAAGGTAAAACACTAATTCATCCTTTTATGAGAGAAAATATTTATGTGATATTTGTATAAATAACAGTATGTGACATTGTTTTGATAGTTTCTCTTTATACAACATGTGAATTATAATAAAGATCTGTTGGTTTCCATAGTAACATGCTTTGAGATTATTCCTACCCCTGAACCCAAGACCAGGGAGGAGTTCCTTCAGTGTAAGTCTCTATTAACAAACAAACATACTGAAACTAAACAAGTTTTAACCCACTCTATAATACAATTGCTGAATAAACTCCATATAAAACATAAAATGAACACAAACATCAGTTCCTCAATACAAATTCTTATTTCACATGAGACTGTACTCAAATCAGTGAAATAGTCAACAAAATGAAATGAAAGTAATTGTATTATTAGCCTTATTTATTTATATGCTTTATCAATTACACACACACAACTTTATGTTGTCAATAACAGTGAGACTACTTCTAATTGAGAACCTGCTCACTGTTGCCTGCACTTTCATTTCACTTTTACTCTCCATTAAAAATGAAAGTAAATCTTTTAAGTACAAGTATTATTTTAATGATTGAAATACTGAATTACATGTTGATTATATGCTCTGTCTCAATCAGATTCTCATCAACTCACTGTGGATTTAAATACAGTGAATGAAAAACTGGAACTGTCTGAGGGGAACAGAGTGATTAAATACACTGACAAAGTCCAGCAGTATCCTGATCATCCAGACAGATTTGATTTTTGGGAGCAGGTGTTGTGTCGAGAGAGTGTGTGTGGACGCTGTTACTGGGAGGTTGAGCGGAGTGGTGAGGTGGATATATCAGTGTCATATCAGACCATCAGAAGGAAGGGACAGGGAGATGAATGTAGATTTGGATGCAATGATCAGTCCTGGAATTTGTCCTGCTACGGCTCCAGTTGCTCATTTTGGCATAAAAACAAAAAGACTGAACTCCCCCTAGTCTCCAGCTCATGTAAAATAGGAGTGTATGTGGATCACAGAGCAGGAAATCTGTCCTTCTACAGCGTCTCTGACACAATGACCCTCATTCACAGAGTCCACACCACATTCACTCAGCCGCTCTATCCTGGGTTTGAGTTCCACTCACAATCAAAATTGAAACTGTGTGAATTATAAATATAACACAGAGATTTTACAAATAAAATTAGCTTATAAATTTGATCTCTATGATAAATCAGCAACTGTGAGACACTAAAGTCTTTTATTTTCTAATCAATACTGAACTTCTCTCATTAAAATAACATGGCGGATAATACTTTTATTTATTTTTTAATTAAAGATCTTCTCGCTTTAATGATGACAGTTGAGTATAATAAGTAATTCATTAATATGAATGTTGCCATTGAGAGACAACACAAATAATATGTCACTGTATTGTCTTCACACGTACAGGAGTGTGTACGTCGTTGTAAAAAGGGTTTTATAAAATCTCTCGGACTAAGCAGAACTGAATAATACCCGACTGTATCCCACTGCAAGTTTTTAGATTTCACACATGCATATTCTTGTATTGTATGTGTTCTATTACAATAAAATATACCCCTTAATTTTTCAAGAGAGCAGGAAAAGTATACAATTATTTTTTATATATATTTGTTATATTATCAAGTGGTTTGGTTTTGATTTATTGTTGTCATATATGACCTAGACAAAAACTGTAATCTGTAATCTGTAATCCACTGTTAACTAGAGCTAGTCTCCTTTGGTGAACCAGTTTAAAAAAATGTATATTTCTATATCAAAGAATATTTTACTTGATCAGCCTTATTAGGAGTAATAAAATCTCTCTGCACTTGTGAGTGTTTGTTTCTCCTGATTTATTTTGTTTTACCACAGGAAGCACTCTGTAACTCTGGGTACAGTTCACTCAATAAATATGCCCTGCCAGGGCAATTCCCTCAAGTCTCTCATTCTTTTAGCTTCTTCTTTGCATGACTGCATATCTACCAACTCCTCTTTGGTTTGATATAAGCAATACAGTGGTTAAATTAGTTAATATCTTCCTCTCTTCAAATAAATCAAATAAATGTTCCAGATGTTACTGCCACCAAGCTTTAGGGACATAATACTTGTTAGGTTTGTGTCATGTTTGATCTGTTTGAGATTGAGTTGGTTTCGCACTGTTTTCTGATACTGTTTCCTTTGGTCCTGCTTCTGGTTAGTTTCTTATTCATTAGTTCATTGATTTAGTCACACCTGTCCTGTTTTAGGCATGATTAGTTTTTGTATAGCTAGCCATCGGTTTGTACATTATTTTCATTGTGGTTTGAATGTGGTTGTTCTGTCTAGTCCTTTGTAATTTCTAACATAACAATATCTAGAGTAAATGATCAATAGTGCTTGACATTTGTGCCCGCTACTGTGTACAGGCCACCAGGGCACTAAACAGACTATCAAAGAATTTGCTGATTTTCTATCAGAGTTAGTGCTGCCTGCAGATAAAGTCCTAATTTTTGATGATTTTAATGGCTCGTTTCCACTGAGCGGTACGGTACAGTACGGTATGTAATTATTTGTGCTTCCACTGTCAAAATACCGAACTGTACCATACTACTTTTTGGGTACCCTTTCATTGGGGTACCTAGCACAGTGCAGAGCCATTGAAAATCAGAATTACGACACTCCCATAGACTGCCATGGGAACTTTGGAACTCGTGTAGCAGCCGATAGTTCCAAGCACTGATAGTTCCAGCACTGAACCCCATTCATTTTCAGTGTTTCCGAAGTACGCTCGCTGGTAAGTTGATAAAATTACTGTGTTTTTGACATTTGAACGCATTAGCCGACCTCTCATGAATCTAGTCAGTAGTTGTAGTTTATGTAGCCAACTTGTTTGCCATGTGCCCCTTTAAATTTTCTAGAATCAGAATCAAAGCAGATTATGACTTCTCTAGGTTGTACTTCCTCAATCCACCATAGAGCCCATAAAATTGTCATTAATTCAGCAGTGAGAACAGGGCTTTCATTAGAAATACGCTGACCAATTTCCAACCCTAGCTGCTCCACATATACCCCAAATCCAACTGGATCTCTAGATCCATCTGTAAAAACAATCACTAGTTGAATTAAGATATTCCTCTGTTTTTGGTGCCACCTCCCACTTATCCTTTTCTTAAAGAAAACCAAACTCAATATTAATTTCAGTGCTATACAATGCCACCCTGATCCATGCTCATCTTCCCTGCCCACTGATTTACTATGACAAAAAATGTATTGTATCTATTAGCTCCAGCAACCTCTTGCAACAGACACCTTGCTGGGAAGGTATGATTACACCCACTAAGTTTTACCCTGTACTGCAACTCTAAGTTAATGCGTCTTAACCATAAGGGCATTTCTCCCATTTCAATGAGTAGGGCAGGCACTGGGGAAGTTCTGAAGGCCCCACAGCAAAGCCTCAAAGCTCTTGCCTGCACCACATACAACCTAGCCAGAAGAGTTTTGGAAGCAGATCTGATCCATACACAAAGCACCCATAATCTAGAGCTGATCTTAGCATGGCCTGAAAAATTAGCAGCATCGTCTCCCCATTAGCCCCCCACTCACACTCAACCAGACTTCTCATTACATTACAAACTTTTTCACACTTCAACACAATTTTACCAACATACACAACCCAAGTCTCTAGTGTCACTAGATGGATGGGGAGCTCTATGCCAGAGGAACTCTGTAAAAGGAGAACTCGGATCAGCAGGGCCAAGGTCGATCTTTTTTGCTTCTAAGGAAAACACGCACTGCCCTCTGTTTTTTTTTCTGATTTTTTTTTTTTCGACAATAAACTGCAGCACCCCACTAGGGGTGGATGCGCTGGCCCAAAACTCTACTGTACGTGTTTCTGCCGGAAGACCTGATACAGCCCACTCTGGACAGAGTGCATCAGGAGAGTCTGTCACTAATTTTAGTGGCCCCGCGCTGGCCAACGAAAACAACATGGTACGCATGCATCATGACGTTGCTGACAGGGACACCTTGGTGTCTTCCCCAATGCAGGGACCTGGGGAATCTATGGGTCTACCCGCTGAGAGGAAGAATCTAATGGCAGTAGGTCTCCCAATTAATGTTGTTGCCACAATACAAAGTGCTAGGGCACCGTCAACGAGGGGGCTTTACGCATGAAAATGGTGGATATTTGAACACTGGTGCAGACAAAAGTCATTATTATCATGTCAATGACCCATTGCAGGAATATTAACTTTTCTGCAGGAATTGTTTGAGGAAGGTTGCTCACATTCCACACTAAAAGTTTACTTAGTGGCCAATTTGGCCTGTCACAAGGGTATTAATGGGGCCACGCTGAGTGCGTTACGAAGTCGATGGTACCATCATGAGACCTGACTGTGGTTTTGGAGGCTATGTGTGTGAACCTCCATTTTAGCCCATAGAATCATTAAATCTAAGAATGCTGCGCTGTCAGCAGCCTACAGTAGCTTACATCCGAACGCGGTGCATACACACCAAAACTCATGTCAGGGGCAAATGTGCTCTCCTTCGAGCTGCCAGCTCTGTCAAACCTCTCGATCGAAAATGTCAGTTTTGTCGAGTATCCTCATAAGAGCAGACTGAGCAGTCTTAAGAGAGTTAAATAAAGTCTTAAATGAAAGAGTTGTGAGAGAATGAGGCGTGTGTGAGACCCACATCTCTGTCAGCAGTGGCTGGTTTTAAAGAGACATGTAGCCAATTTAAAGCTTTCTGTAATGAAAGTGGTAACACTTTACAATAAGGTTCGTTTGTTAACATTAGTTAACTACATTAGTTAATATGAACTAATAATGAATAGCACATATACAGCATTTGTTAATCTTTGTTAATGTTATTTTCAACATTTACTAATACTTGATTAAAATCTTGTTAACATTAGTTAATGCACCGTGAACTAACATGAACAAACAATGAACAGCTGTATTTTCATGAACTAACATTAACAAAGATTAACAAATGCCGTAACAAATGTATTGCTCATGGTTATTGCATGTTAGTAAATACATTAACTAATGTTAACTAATGAACCTTATTGTAAAGTGTTACCATGAAAGTTAATCATAGAACAAAGGGAACTGAGAAAATCACACAATTTGTAACTTTGATAATACTTTATATATAATTTAAAAATTTATGAAATGCAAACTGTGTGATAACTTTATTAAATTTCTGTAGACCTATTTCCTACCTGTTAAACAAATATTTAAAATATAGCCTACTGTCTTTGTGTTGTTTATACATTCATTTGGAGATTTTTGATTACACTATAAAATAATGGCGTGTTTAATGGCGATTCATCGTGATCAATCACAGAAAAAAAGTGTGATTAATGTAGTTATTTTTTTCAATCGATAAAAATTAATAAAAAATGTTCAACTGTTTAATTGTAAAAGCATGTTTATTTTTATAGAATATAATGTATTTATTTATGTTAATATCTGCGCAATTAATGTCTATTAATTTAGCCAACCACCAGTGGTGGAGGAAGTACTGAATCTCAGTACTTAAGTAAAAGTACAAATACCCAGATAAATATTTACTTTAGTAAAAGTAGAAGTAACACAATGACAACCATACTTAAGTAAAAAGTAAAAAGTACTTTGTTTTAAATGTACTTTAAGTATTAAAAGTAAAAGTACTTGCATAACAATTTATTATCTTAATGTCTATTTTCTAATGATTAATAAAACATTTAATTCTAACTCATTCAACCTAATAGCCTACTCCTATAATGATGTTCAATAATGATGGAAAAAAATGTCACCATTTCTGAAACAAGCTTGCAATTAGGCAATATACACATCATGCTATCCTTACTATATGTTAATAACTATGTTTGGCAGTAAACGCGATTAATTTATGGTGTAATTCTGAACCTCTTGGCTTGCCATAATCCTAACCAAACGTATATTACACACGGTGCGTTTCCTATGCACGTAAAAACTAATTTTCGCATATAAATTACACGATAAACACAGACGCATTTAGTTGATGTATCTATGGCAACCAAACGTCACTGGTGAGACAAACGTGCAACGAACATTACGTTTTGGCCGGGGAAAAACTGATCAGAAAATGTAACGAAAATGTAACAGAAATTGTAGAAATGTAGTGGAGTAGAAAGTATAATAATTGCTGCAAAATGTAACGAAGTAAAAGTAAAAAGTAGGCACTATTTATTCTACTTAAGTAAAGTAAAGATACGTGAAAAATGTACTTAAGTAAAGTAACGAAGTATTTGTACTTCGTTACATTCCACCACTGCCAACCACACACATCGTGTCTTGTCGAATGTTGTTGTTCACTCTGACCGCTAGATGACAGAATTGCTACTACTTTAATATTTAAACGGAGGAATGAGAGCGCATATTTGCCTCGGCTACTTTGATAAAAAGCTACAAAACATTGTTTAAAACATGTGCAAGGATTACATCGTATTAGAGCTGTTCTTGTCGAAATGAATACTGAATGACTGTCCGGTTCGCTCTGCAGGAATGTTTCAACGGAAACGCCTGAAAACACAAGCACCTGTTCCTGCATTTGCAGCGTATTCGTTTCTATAGCAACGCCTAACACTACGTCAAGCCATGGTCCGTAGTAAGTGCTTTATTGTTTATGTGAAGACTATATTTTTATTAATTATTTTGTAATTGATCAGTTATATATTATATGCATCTTTAAATAAATAATATTTCATCCCAAATAAACTCTAATGGGATTTTTGTTTTGTTTTTGCGGTGTAGCTGGTAAACTAACTACTCTCTCTCTTCTGTTCAGTCAGTGAGGATCTGATCCGCCGCAGAGCAGAACACAATAATGGTGAGATCTTCTCTCTGGAGGAGGTTTCCCTCCATCAGCAGGACATCGAGAGGATCGAGCACATCCACAAATGGTGCAGAGACCTCAAAATCCTCTACTTACAAAACAACCTCATCCCTAAAATAGGTAATCTGACATCACTGTACATATCAGTGGGAACACAAATGGCCGTTCATAGTCTAACGTTAACTTTGTTTCTGCAGAAAATGTGGGCAGACTAAAGAAACTGGAATATTTAAATCTGGCACTGAACAACATCGAAGTCATTGAGAATTTAGAAGGTGACAGAATGTTTCATTGATTTTATTTTCATTAGGCTATCAACTTATTGCCAACAATTTATATATTAATTTACTTAATTTTAGCAGTATATCTACATAGATTTATCATTTAAAAATGTATCATGTCTTTTTTAATGGTTTTGTTTGAAAGCATGGTGTGTTTTGTTGCAAATATTCTCTAACCAGAAGATACTGTATGGCTTTTGTTCTACTCCAGTTCATGTACTTTATATGCGCATAGTAATTTATTTGATTTTTTTTTTTGTTTGTAGGCTGCGAGAGCTTACAGAAACTAGACCTGACGGTGAATTTCGTGGGAAAGCTAAGCAGTGTGGAGTCTCTGAAGCAGAACCTTCATCTCAGAGAGCTCTACCTGGTGGGAAACCCCTGTGCTGATTTTCAGGGATACAGACAGTATGTGGTGGCAGTTCTGCCTCAACTACAGGTACTGCACAGACATTTTTAGCCTTGTTCAATCAAAGAATCAGTGGCGTTCAGTGGTGTTCTGAAATAAGACAAAGTCTTATTTTTAATATTTTATATATAGGCTACTTAATATTTTATTTATATATATATAAATCAAATGTAAATTCATGTCCCAGTTACAGTTCCATTTAATTCTTTGTTTTTTATATTTACTATGTAATTAATGTTCTATTTATTAAAACCAAGTATAAATCTCATCAAGATGTTTTTTTTAAAGCATTTTTACATTTATTCCAAAATGTTCAAACTTATTTTCATCAGTTATCAAGCTTGGTAAATCACAGGCGAAGATTTAATTTAACCAAGCATATTCCTCACTATAAAAAAAACCCCCACAGTCATTAGGTTTTCAGTCAATTTCAAGTTTGATTTTGACGTGAGATAAAGCAGTGATATCTAAATGGCTGAAAGTTGTATTTACTTTTTAAGTAGTCTTCCTAAACAGCATCATTTTGTTCATTTAAAGATTCGCGAACACGCACGATTTTATCATTAACATAAACATTTTATCGCACAAACCATAACCAATCATAGCGCGATGGATGCATTGCCTTCACCTGACTTTCCCCAATTCATTCTCAATTACCCCCACCAAAACCGCTGCATGGTTTAGGGCATCTTGGTTCACATATCAAATACACAAATCTTAAAACAGAAGGCAACGGGCCCTGTGGTTGTTGCTGTTGGACAGTGTTGCTTTAGAAAAACAAGTGATTTATACAGTTATTTTGAGGAGACATTACCTCCCTTGTTTCCTCGTAGGAAACGCCCCTGGAATGAATGATTGTCTTTTGTGCTTTGCAGTGGTTGGACGGGAAAGAAATTGGTCGAGCTGAGCGTATCCGGGCCCTGCAGGAACTGGATGAAGTCAGGGGACATGTTTTAGAGCAGGAGGCGGAGTATTTAGAGAAGAGAGAGAAGCAGAAGAGGAGTGGTTTGAAAGAAACATCAGCCATAGAAAAGCAGGAGCATCCTCAAATAAACCAGTGAGTGTCTTTAACAGAGCGGAGGTTTGGAAAACTGATTTGGGAGGGCCAAAAGACAATTTGGGTTGCATGAGATGAACTTGAACATGAACATGAAGACTGCACCCTGAAAATGACCTTTTAGAAATTAATTTGAGCAAATGAACCACATTAAAATCAGGGTGTAATTCATACAGTGGAAGGTGCATACAAATTTCATACTTATTCACCCTAATAACCCCCTTAGTAAAGCTTCTTTAAGAATGAAGCACCTGATATTTTGATATTATCTGCTTTGTGCCTGCCCTGTCCTGTGAGTTGTTCCCTTTAATGAGACTTAAAGGGTTAGTTCACCCAAAAATGAAAATTCTGTCAGTATTTACTCACCCTCATGTTGTTCCAACCCCGTAAGACCTTCGTTCATCTTCGGAACACAAATTAAGATATTTAAGATATTAAGATCGCTCCTGCATACAGTCCATAGGCTTCTTGAGGGACTGGCTCTTGCTGTCCTCGAAAAGTCATTAAAGACATCGTTAAAATAGTCCAAGTGACTACAGGGGCTCAATCTTAAGTTTATCAAACGACGAGAACACTTTTGTGCGCAAAAAAACAACAAAAATAACGACTTTATTTCAACTATTCGTTTATTTCTCCCTCTGCGCGAGTCAGGTTACTAGTTTAATAGCGTAAGCTTCTGTTATTGTACGTCACACGCATCACACACACATGACCAGCGTCGGCCAATAGTGAGGCTACGTGTGACGTAGCTCTACGCAATCACACTACGTTAACTGACTTACAGGCTCATGGAGAAGGAAGTGAATAGTTGAAATAAAGTCGTTATTTTTGTTGTTTATTTGCGCACAAAAGTGTTCTCGTCGTTTGATAAACTTAAGATTGAGCCCCTGTAGTCACTTGGACTATTTTAACGATGTCTTTAATGACTTTTCGGGGACAGCAAGAGCCAGTACCTCAAGAAGCCTATGGACTGTATGCAGGAGCGATCTTAATATCTTAAATATCTTAATTTGTGTTCCGAAGATGAACGAAGGTCTTACGGGGTTGAAACAACATGAGGGTGAGTAAATACTGACAGAATTTTCATTTTTGGGTGAACTAACCCTTTAACTGTAATGATTTCTCACAGATCGCTCTCTGAGAACCAAAATGTGACCCATCAAAATCCAGAATCAAGCTCTAAGGCTCACACAGACGCAGAAGATAAGGAGAGGGAATTCTGGGAAAAGCCATGCGCATTCACCCCAGAATCCAGGCTAGAGACCCATCGCCATCTGGAGGATAAGAGGAGGGCCAATGAGAAAGAGAGGTACTTTGCTAACTAAGAAGGGGTTTAAATCACTGTAATGGTCTCTATATCTAATTATCACTATGATGCCATTTCACCATCTTTACATTTTTATGAGCTACAAAGAGAGAAAGACATTAAGCTTTTGAATGTTTTTGCTGTAGACGCCTTCACTTATAGCAGTCAATTGTTTCTACAGGGAGAAGCCTAAAACAAAACCCCCCAGAACTCTGATCACTGCAAACGGACGAGTGCTGAACGTCAACGAACCAAAGTACACACACACACAATCCTGTACCATATATTTGACTATCAGTATAGATTATTCTGTTCAAAAACTGTTTAGACAGGAAGAGACCTTCGAATTGACGTGTAAAGCAAACAACCAGATTTGAGAATATGTAATTTGTTTGCTGATACGTTTTTCAAACAATACCAAAAGTTATTCCTTTGTACCTAAAAAAAGGTTGGAAATGTTAAAGGCACAGTCTGGTACTTTAAACCTTGACTTTGTGTCCTAGTGGACAGATAAAACCTTTTTACTCATACTGTCAGAAATTAATTTTGAATTTCTAATCTGAAAGGGTCAGGACTCATGTAAGTTTATTTAAACATTAAACATTCATAATTTGAAATTGGGCATTGCGTTACCATGGAAATGGTGCTGATAAACCTTTAAAAAGACCTTGGGGTTCCTCCCTCTAGTGGGCAGTTTCATTTTTCCAAATGTATACAATTTACTGCAAAATTTTAATCATCAAATATTTTTTCTAATCTGTTGCATATTTACACTGTTTTGTAATAGAAGTGATACTGTGACAGAAATGTATTTGGATGCATTCCCCTGTCACAGGGGAATGCATCCAAATCATTTCAGTAGTGTATGGGTGTCACTGGTGGATATTTTTGTGATATTAACTTCAAATTTGGAACACAACTTGTATAGACCTATAGCTTTTATTACATAACAATTCCAAAGCATGTCCATTTTAGTAAAATATATATTTTGTATAAAATTTCTTTCACTTCAGCAATAATCTGCAGAGTGTCTGTAGAAACCAACTGTAGGTCTGTAGGACTCCAAATTGTTTATTAATTACAACCATTTACAGCTCAGTGTATTTTCAAGTCAATGCTTAAAAAGGGGGTGAAAGTTAACAGGTTAAAAGAAACAAGCCAAAAATCGAATGGAGAAAATACAAAATGCAAATATCCAAACACTGGTGTGCATGAGGTCATGGTTCACTGAAGGAACAGGAATACATACTAGGGCATACAAGTCATAAAAACACTGAAAACATAATTCTATTTATAGTGAGAATCAACAACATGTAAGATGGTTGAACTAGGACACAGAAAAAAAAAATCCTATATCATAAATCACTCCAAGCAGCGACACGAATAAGGTCACACACCACATACTACAGTAACGTTTGAGTTTGAATATAATTCAAACTGATCTCTGTCTGCAAGGTTGGACTTCAGCCTTACTGAAGATGAGAACAACTGCATGGTTCTGGATTTACACGTTTACAGGTACAGATACACTCGTCACAAAATAACCCAGTCATGATTTAGCAACTTTGAGCATATTTGGTCGTCATTTAGTAACTTTTCTCCTAACAGCGCACACACTCACATTGCTCTCTTCTGTGGTGTAGGCACATGGACACCTCCCTGCTGGATGTGGATGTTCAGCCAACATATGTTAGAGTGACCGTCAAAGGAAAGGTAGACTATCCATCTCTCTTTCTCTCTTTCCATCTTTCTCTCACTCACATCTGATGAGTTTGACCTTTAAAGCTGATTAGCCAGCAGTAAATCTACACTCTTTATTCTGCCTCATTTCCCTGTTATACCAGCACAAAGTTACGGCTCTCGCCTCACCACACCCCAGTACGTGTGTGTGACTCTCATTATAGATGGATATGAGTTTGTGACTAGTTATAATGTAGTTCACCTTTATAATGGCAAGTGCTTGGAACCCCCACATTAATAAAAGTGTATGTGTGTGTGCAGGTCTTCCAGCTGGTTTTGCCTGCAGAAGTAACACCGGACAACAGCAAAGCACAGAGATCCCAAACCACCGGCCACCTGCTCCTCACCCTGCCTCTGGTACAGCTCACTACACTTCTCAAACACCTGATGTCTTTGAACATCATTTCCATTCCAGATTTCATATATATAGGGGGTTTATTCCCTCAGTGACAACAATGAAATCTAATGATCTTTTCCAAACTAAAAATATCATTAAAGGTGGGGTATGCGATTTGCAAAACGGCCGGCAGATTTTGAAAATACACAACTCATAAGATTCTACCTTCTCTCCTCCAACGCTGACTCCACCCATTCGAAAAACATGGACGCGCAATCAAGCTCGAGCGCAAACTCAGATGCATAAATACAATCGCTCACATCAGCTTCCTCCCCAAACAGGTTGTTTAGCTAGCTAGTTCTACATATGGCTGGACTATAACGTTAGAACAGCTACAATTCTCAAGCGCATATCGTCAGTAAAGATAAAGACAGTTCTTGAAAATGATTGGCTGGAGGTTTTCGAGTCCTGCCCACAGATTCCACAGATGATTAAATTGCTTAATTTTCATTTCAGTGCTTCTAATTTACAGCCAGCAAGTGAGTTACGAATACGATTTCAAGTGATTTTGAAAAAAATTATCAAAAAAGAAAATCACCTTCCCCACCTTTAAGGTTATATTCAGCATGAACTTAAGCAAGAGGAATCTCATCAAATATAATGTTAAAATTATCCCTTTAAATTGAATCCCAGAACTGTGCCATAATATAGTTAGCTGAGAAAGTTGACGTTCTGTGGTGTGACACGTTGTACATTTAAAATTAATTATTGTATGCAAATATATAATCAAAAGTTTTGCAAGATGGTATAAAATGGTGACCATTCACAACACTTAAAATATAAAATTTTTCTTATATACTCATGTACACTAGCTCACCATGACTGCATTTACTTACAGTGAAAACAGTAATAGGCTACTGTGAAATATTCTGACGATTTTAAATACCTGTTTTTAGTTTTTATATATTTTAAATGTAAATTTATTGTAAATTTGTAAATTTATTCATGTGATGCAATGCTAAATTTTTAGCAGCCATTACTCCAATCTTCAGTGTCAACTATCCACTTAAAGTGCAGTCAAACTGGAATGGGAACATGAAAAAATGTTGTATAAAAGTGCCTGCTAACAGCTATCTGAAAGTCTAGTCAAATGATAAGTTCATTTACAAGTTTTTTTTTTAGTAGATAAGTTTTTATATACATATCTAGACTGTTTAAAACTAGCATGTGCCTTAAAATACATCTGATATATTTGTGTTTATTTTCTAGGCACATGGAGAGATAAAACCAAAGAAACCCACAGTAAGGCCGACCAGTGTTACCAGTAACCAGAATACAAAGAAAGAAACCAGGTATTTCAGTTACAGCTGCCCGTCTATGTGAATGTGTGTGTCACATACACACATCTGTATTCATGTCTTAATATTATGATCTTGGTCTTCATACCACTCCAGACCTAAATAAATGTAACCTTGGTCAGTGTCAGGGTTAGTTTTTAATCTTGGTTCACATATCAAATACACAAATCTTAAAACAGAATTCTGCTAAATAACTTATGTATTCCACTAAAAAAGAAAAATCTGTCATTCATATGACGTGATGGTGAGTGAGATGGTGGCAATGATTTAATTTCTGGTTGAACTATCCATTTAAGATGATTGTGTCCTTGAGCAAAACACTCAACTGCAGGTAACTCCGGGAAAACTGAGCTTCTTATTAGGAATATGGCTTTAGAGCCAAGGTTGCTAAAAGACTAAATTGCAATATATACACACATACACGCTTATCTGTCTTATAATTGATCTCTCTTTATAGACCTCCCTCTCATCCTCTAGTTTTATCTCTGCAGTTCACCGCAGCAGGTCTTGTGATGTTCACTTTCAAACAGAAAAATCCCTTGTGTGTGTGTGCACGCACGTCTAATGGGTCTTAATGCATGTTTGCATTAACCCGTGTGGCTGTGGAATTAGTTCGATGACTTAAGGTTTCATTCCATTGTGCGACCATGTGTCTGTGTGTCCTTCAGTCGCTTTATCAGCACAGTAATTGAACACCGGGGTATAACATTAAAGACCTAATAAAAATGCAAATAAGATGCAAATAAGCCCGTTACTGTCATTCCGCTCACAAACACATACACTTCTGCTCTGACATCATCCTGATGGATGACATAATCTGAACCTGATTATTACTCCTGACCTCCTGACACACTGAGAGGTCAGATGCTCTTGCTCTCACATACACAAGCACTCATGTTATTATTTACTGAGACTCTCAGGTCACACACAGTAACACACCTGTGTTTGTGTTCCTGCCCCTGAGGAAATCATTGCCCTTTCTGTAAATCATCTGTGTGTGTGATAATGTACCCGCCGAGGCACTGATTGGCTCTGAAAGTACAATATAATTGCGCACTATCTGTAATTCAGATTCCAATCTGGTTGCAGTTTCCGCACTAATTAAATTTTCAGTGATGTATTCTTAAACCATGAAAGAGGTGCAAGTCGAGATAAAAAGAGGGGTTCTAATACTGTACTATAAATAACAAACTATATTATTATTATTGTGTAGTCAAACAATTAAGCAGAAATTGCTTGTACTAGCACAGTTTAAATAAAGCCCTGGTGTGTGTTGAAGACAAAAGCCTTTCAGTTTGAGTCCACAGCATGTCAGGGCGGATTTATCTGTTATTTTGATGGGTGGGGCTTCATACTCGGATTTGTATTTCTATGCAAGTACAACATGATGATGTTGTCAGCCTACCTCACTGCTTACTACTTTTCAAGCAGTGACTAAACATGAGCCCTTTCTCAATAGCTGGGTTTCAGTCACGTGATTATGATGACGCGCGGAATTCAGATAGAGGGGAGGGAGTGAAGAGCGAAATGGACGAGATGGAGAAAAGTCCGTACTGTACTACTTTACACGCAATTACAAGAGAAAGAAATAAACAAAAAATCAAACATATGTTGGACATGATCCTTACATTATGAAGAGGAGCGATTTTTCAACTGAATTGAAATATTTTTCAAGCCACCGAGGCGGTAGATATCAGCAACTACCTCGTCTTACAGACATACGGAAGTTCCACGTTACACAAACAGTCACTTAAGTTATATTAACTCACATTTGAGTTGCTAACATTACACACACGGGCATTTTCCCATTCGGCTCCTTTCATAGGTTTGCAAGCTGTTTTTCGATCAATTTCTTGCATTTCCCCCCCTTATGAACAACAACTTTTGGTACACGATAAAAACTCCTTGTGGTTTGATCGATTCAAGTAACCATAAATGACTCAAAACATAGGCATTTTGAGTTTGTTATAGTGCTTTCTAAATACAGCAAATCACTTCCTGCCTTCCATTTGTATTTTCGCGCCATGGCAACGCAGTGGCGTGACGTCATATGAAAACAAGCTATAGGCATTCTTGTCTGACTAGTAAAACTTCATCATTCGCTGCACAAGTACAGTTCCAATTCAAAGTTCACATCTAGCCAAGTACAGTTCAGATCCCTGGATGTGTTCTTGCTCATTTTATCGAGGATGCATCAAGAGGTAACTTGTGCAAACTTGAGACAGCCAAATTTTTTTTTAAAAAGTTTGTTTAAAGCTCAAATCTGCGGTTCATTCTGGGCACTTAACACTCATGCACCTCGGCTAGTCCGTCTAAAATTTGCCACTGATGTTTCTATAATTGCAAAATACCCCTCATTTGTTATTGTTTTCTCCTACACAGCCTGTTATGTCTGAAAAGTTGTTTTAGAGCTTTATAGGATTATGCAGTCTATTATGTAACTTTTTTTCTTTAGAATATGTTTCACTAGCCTGACGTCGTCATACTCAGCCAGGTCTCATCCCAAGGCGTCATATATGTGACAAAATTGCGTCTACATCTGACGCACATGGCACCTTTTAGTGTCAATATGAAACGCAGATATATATGGGCCAGAAAGTGCCTCCTAGTGGTCTAACCCTAACACTACCCCAGACCTAAACATACCCATAAATGAAGCGTGTTATATTGACGCGAAACGGTGCCATGTGCATCGGATTTAGACGCAATTTCAAAAGCGTCACCTATATGATGCCCTAGGATGAGATTGCGTTGTCATACTCGGATTCTAGTCAGAATGTGAGTCTGATACTGCTCCATTGGGCTGTGATTATGGGGCGTGTTTTAACCGAACCAGGAAAAAAATTTCTCTGCCTTCAATTGGATTGACAAATGCCTTGATTGCAGTTCTCTGTTCCTCTTTTAAAATGAATGCGGGGTCTATGGCTGAATCTACACATCTAAAATCTTCACCTTTGTTGTAAACGATTTCAACCCAAGCGCTCTTTGGTGACGTGGATGATTACGTTACCGTTGATCATCTGTCCATCATTGTATAAAGCCCGCCCTGACAATTTGATTGGTCTGAACAGCTTTGGTTCGGGCTTCACAATGGATCAAGTCCAGACCGAACTTCCCAGCCTCAAATGTTGTGGGCAGGGATAAGTTCGGCTGGCATCCAGGCTAGGTGTACTGATGAATCACAATAAGAATTTATTCATGAAGTAACCAGGGTCAAATTTTTCATATAGAGTGTGTCTTTGTGTTGGATGGGATTTAGCAAAGAGCAGGTGGGGAAACTGACCAATTTTGCAGGGATAGTGCTGACTGAACAGTTAGACTAAAGTTATAGAGTAATAAATTCTTAAAATACAAAGAAACGCCAATCTCAGACAGATCTGCCTCTCTACAGGACAGCGCCAGGGCGTGAATTATTGGAGGTGGATCCCGGTCTGGCTGGGAGTCTGGCCAACATTGTTTCCAAAGGAAAGGAGTCTTCCCACAAGCCCCTGCAACTCTCACAGCCTCACCAGCATTGTGGCATCGAGGAGAGGCCAGTGTCAAAGGACTTTTTAGATGATCCAGAAGTGCCTCCACTTATGTGAACAAGACAGAGAGAGAGAGACTATGATATGAAATGACACAGCAAGTAAGCAGAAGCGTAATCTCCCGCTCTGCTGAGCTTGTGGAACTGCGTGATGAAATAATGTGAGATATATTTAGCACTCTTCGTTAGACGTATAGTTAAGCAGATGAGTAATTGTCAGTCTCATTAAAGCTTGCTGAATATTTCACTGCTACAGATCCTTCACTTTCAGTGTGTTCTCTCTCTCTCTCTCTCTCTCTCTCTCTCTCTCTCTCTCTCTCTCTCTCTCTCTCAATCATGCACACTTACTCAGATACTCATTTATTGACTTACAGTCATGTCTGTCTGATATAAAGGAGGAGATCTAATCTGAATGCGGGCATCAAAACTAAATCGCTCCCATTAAGATCAATGAAGCTGCCTGCAATAAAAATACAGCTGTTTTGTTCAGTTGACTCTATTTTTGACGTGTTGCACAAATGATTTGTTTTTTATAAGTTATTGTTTTTCTCAATCCATCTAAAATTAATACAATATCATTGACTGTAAAAAAAGATGGACGACACGTCTTCACTTCACTCTAAAAATGTTTTAATTACATTTTTAAACCAACGTTGGGTTTGTCCATATTTGGCCCAAAGTTGGGTTAAAACAACCCTGCATTTTTAGTGTGTTTCTTCCACTGTAGAAAAATGAAACCATTGATTACGTAATTCATTCGCTCAGCAAAGCTGTCAATCATGATGTTATCCTGTTTCAATAACCACAATCTAAAACCAAACTTATTGGGAAAATGGAAATCTTGTTTCAACCCAAATTTGCGTCAAATATGGACAAACCCAAATGTTGGGTTAAAATGTTATAACTTCAACTGTAATTTTTTTTTAAACATGTGGGTTTGTCCATATTTGACCCAAATTTGGGTTGAAACTACCCAGCATTTTTTACAGTGTGGATTTTTGAAGTTTGCCGACCCATTCGACTACATGGAAAGAGCGGGGTTTATGACCTATACAGCAGCAACCACAATGTTTTGGCTTCAGTTTTCAGGATGTGTGCAAGTATATTGCTTGCCATGTTTCTGGCCTCTGGCCTACCAATTTAAATGTGTCATTTGTTTCTAACTAATATAGTCATAGCATCATTGCAATTAAAATGATTTCACTTTTCTAAAATAGGCCATGCAAAGTGAACTTTTAATAGACCTTGTTATTCACAGAAGCACCAACTTTGATTTTTAAAGGGAATGAAAGCGAGGGTGTGATCTCTTCAGTGGGTTATATTGTTAATTGATGAGTTCTTGGGTTGTTCTGCTGACGAAATGCTGCAAAAAATAACTTTCGAAGAGATTTCAGTAAACAAAAAAACCCAGACAATATGAGCGGTGGAAAATTATACATGAGCTAAGAGCTTGACGGGTTTTTTTTATGTTAATTTTTTTTTTTTTTTTTTTTACAGTGGATGCCATTAAAAATATAGTAGGCTGCCTCACAGCCTCGCTTTCATTCCTGTCATAACGCTGCTATGCCAATTAGTTTCCATTTAAAAAATAAACAACCAAAGCCGATTAGACTGTGGTTTGTAAGCATTATGAGGTGACCGTTTTGAGTTTTTTGTTTCAGCATAACGCATTCAATTAAACAATAGCGACAGTAAAGACATTTTACATTTTACATTGTTAATTTTTTCTTTTTTTTAAATGAATGCTGTTCTTTTGAAGTTTCTATTCATCAAAAGTTCTTGTAGGTAAATACTGTTTTGTGTGTGTGTTTGTGCGCCGAAGAGGTCAGATGTGTAATTGCCAACGGATGAGCTCATTTCTCTGCAATATTTCTATTTTCAGGAAAGCAAGAAGATATACTCACCCTATATAGTTCACACAAGGTCAAACACACCTCACAGTACACAGACTTTCTTTACAGCTCACACTCAGGGTCAGCAGCAGCAGGTATGTACCTTTCCTCAGTGTATAAGTAGATTGTGCCTGGGTCTTTCCCCCTGCTTCTTTATGTGTGTATGAGTGAATTATCATAATGTGCAGATGCTGTGCTAGTTTCATTTCCACCTTTATTAAAAACTCCTATCAGCAGATGAGTCATTTACACTAGTGCTGACATTTAAACAGCCCTGTGCTGGTCTGCACTAAATCTTATAAAAGCCATTTCAGAGACGCTTCAATGGAGTAAACAGATTACACTTCAACGAGCTGTATTTAGAGATTATTTTAATTCATTCCTTTCAGGCTAACCAGATTCTATAAAAATACAGTTGGGGCCAAATGTCTTAGCTCTTAACATTTCCTTTACAAATCATTTTATCAGCACAACCATTTAAGTGAAAAGTTTCATTGGAAATTTAACACGAACGTCTCTTGCCTTAAAGGTGCAGTAAGTGATGTCTGAGAAACACTTGATATTTGAAATCAAGCCAAACAAACACACCCCTCCCTTAATTGCTCTGCCCCCAAAATGCACAAAAATGTGTCCCTGCTTGATATACAGCCACCGATAAACATAATCGGTTTTAATGAGAAAGAAAAAACAAACAAAAAACTATACGAGTGTGGATTAGAACTCGGGACCTCTGTCATGCTTGGTAAAAGTTCTGCCACTGGACCATTAAAGTGCATGTATATCATTGTCGGATCTATGTATTTCTTCATGTGAAATTTCTCGCCACCAACACATTTTAGATCTCATTAAACGACAAATTAAACTCAATGTACTATTTAAATCGTTTGCTGGACACCGGTATGTTATTGTACATAGGTGTACATCTCATTTGTTTCATCACCACCCCACACTTAATTATGCTCCAAATGTGTTACTTATTGTCCCTAATGCATCCAATTGGAATTTTAGGTTCCTGAAACTGTTGCGAATGAATAAAACATGATGATTTAACCCAGCAGCTGGACATAGACTGAATTATTCGCCCCTTGTCACCCTGACCAGGGATGGATTACTGACTGGGCCATTGCCCAGGGGCCCTTGACAACCAGAAGCCCGGGGGGCCCTGGGGTTCAAGGCCACGCAATCCCATTCAGAAAACCCATTAACAATGAAAACAAATGTTTATTAATTCTGTAATATATGGGTCCAATAGCCTACACAAGGCCTCTTAAACAAGACTCTTGGACTCTGAGGGCTCCCTGGAATGTGAAAATGAAGGCCAAATCCTCTTATAGAACTATTGTCACTATTTAAGTATTGGAAAAATAACTATTTATTATTATATTATAACTGCCCATTTTCCCTAAGCTGAAGTGAGACTGCATTTTTTAACGGCCTCATTTGTATAATGTTTTATTGCCTAATTATAAATGATCCAACAAAATGGGCCCAAAGAGAGCAATAGAGTATGTTTTTGCATAGTTATTAAATTTAAACTGTAAAAAGTAAAAGCATACACCCTTCACTCTACAGTTGTTTGAATGACTGTCAAAGACGCACCTTCAAATAAAAAAGTAGATATTCAAATATATTGCTTGATATTTGATATCCGTTCAAATTTGATTTTTCTCTAAAGTGACAGCCCTAATGAGGGGTGGACCTGAGTTCTTCTAGATCCAGGGGCAAGAAAAGTTTTCTACATTTTAAAGTTAAATGCATTAATCTTTTAGAGTTATAAAAGAGCTCAAAACCATGTTCAGCAGGCAGCCTATGAATATAAATCATTAGAAAGGATTGTTTGAAAAAAAAAAAAAAATCCGTCCCTGACCCTGACAAAGATGCTCTCTTTTCTTTCCCTCCTCCCGTTTCGTCAGCTCCCCCGGCTCTGCTGTTCCTCCAATCTCTGACAAGGAGAAGATGCCGTCTTCTCTGACTTTCCAAGAGCCTAACTTTAAAGTTAGTACATTTTTGATGATACTTCACTTTTATTGATCGGTTTGTCTTTTTCATCCCAGCGTCACTCTTCTCTCTCTCTCTCTCTCTCTCTCTCTCTCTCTCCATTTCTTTCTGTAGCTGTAGGATCCTGCATGCTCTCCCGAGGGATGTGTATGTCAGAGCGTTGTGTCACTGGCAGACTCTCTGAGCTGAACTATGGCCACTCTGTGAAGCTCTAAGGTTAACGGCATCTCAGCTGTTTGACATCCTGAGCACTTAAATTTATGGCTTATAAATCATACAAATTTACGGCTGTAATCTGGTTGTGCTCATAGAATGAGGATTTAAGAAAGCCTACATCTACTTCAACTGCTTCATCCCAAAAGAGAATTGGGCCTGGATTTGGATTGATATGCATGACTGGATAAGCAGAGTATAGAGAAAGCCAAAGATAAAGAGATTCATGATTGTGCTTTGATTTACAAGTATGTTCCCATGATGCACTGCAGCACTGGGGTCACCTTAGAATGTCCCACAAAGCTGTGCATTTAAAGGGTAAGTTCACCCAAAAATGGAAATTCTTTCAGTAATTGACCCTTCGCTACGCCACGCGCGAAAACCGCCACTGGCCAATCGTGTTTTAGCAACCGTAACTAGGCACGGGAGGTCTGGCAAGCTTTCGAGCGAGGGTAACATGCCGAACCATTGTGTGTATGGATTGTGCAAATCTGATACCCGGTATCCTTAAAGTTTGGACGGGTAAATGGATTTTTTTTCCTTCACGAAAATCTAAAAGCCGAGGGGAGAAATGATGGGCGTGATCAAGCAGTGGGAGACCCCATTCACAACTAAATGTCGACATGATTAACAAAAACACCTATTGCTTGGAAATATTGACGGTTCTTTGTTCATAATGCATATATTTTAACGTAAAATAAGACGTTTAAAGACAAGACGGAGGCTCGCTGACATACTTTAAAAAATATTTCAGTATTTCGTTAATCGACGGCCTACTACCCCTATAGGTAACTTTAACCCAATCCGATCGCGGCTCTCTCTGTGTTTGTGTTATTTCCACAAGATTTATGCATAAGCTGTTTGGGTTAGGTAAAAAAATATTATTCATGATTTGTAATCACAACATTTTTTCTTTTGTCAAATCAACTTAGATAATTTATGTAGTTCAGATAACATAATATTTTGAGTTTCTGGTGATTAAATTAATCTCCTTCATTGTATCAACTCAATTTTTCCATTTCAATGAACTTAAAATTTTAAGTCAACCAGGTTACTTATTTTTTCAAGTTAAACCAACAATATTTTTTACAGATTATTTTCACATTTCACTTACAAACATAGCTGTTCCTCAATTTGTGTGTTTCCCATTTGAACGGTCAGCGTATGAGGCGCTGCTGCTTGTGCTGGGCTTTAGCTTCAATTTTTAGGAAATTATTCTCTCATCGGTTGCATATTATGTCGTGGATATATCCCTCGAATGGAATACTGCAGTCCCTTTAGTCTGTGCTCTCTCAGATATTTCACATGTTGGCCAAAAATGACAAATTATCTCATTTTGAATGTCTGACACCGGTGCATACACACTGTAATAGATGTGCCAGCCACGAAAGCTTGACAGGCGTAGCAACAGTAACTAGGGAGGGCGGGGCTTAGCAAAGGATCAATTACTCACCCTCATGTCGTTCCAACCCCGTAAGACTTTCGTTCATCTTCGCAACACATTAAGATATTTTTGATTAAATCTGAGAGCTGGATCACTCCTCCATAGGCTTCTATTGTAAATGAAACTTGCCAGGGCAGAAAAGTTAGTAAAGACATTGTTAAAATAGTCCAAGTGACTACAGCTCAGCTCAACCATAATTTTATCAAGCGATGGGAATACTTTTTGAGCGCACCCCCCCTCAACTCTTTATTTTCTTCTCTGTGGGCCTCTGAGTGAGTTAACGTGTGACAGCGCAGCGCTTCTGTGTTTAACAGCACTTTTCAGTATTTAAGTTAAAAATGTGAATATACACTGCTTTGGATGTATGTGTGTGTGTGTGTGTGTGTGTGTGTGTGTGAAAGAGAGAGTTCAGCAGCCATCTTGACTAGCCCTGTATAATGCATCTGAATTCAGCAGAGAGCGGTTAGATACTCCCACCGCATTAGAGTCTAAACAACACCTAACAACGAGGTTAAAAAAAGCATGCATGGAAAACAATCAACTTTAGATAAGACAGCATGCATACTGTAAAACCCCTGTATGTGTTGAATATTCTCATCTGCTCTGATTTGTGAGATTTGAAACCTAAGAAACTTTATTCTCAGAAATAGTGTAAATCTCATTAATGATAAATGAAATCCTGAGAAATGCTTCACTGTGGGATTGTCGGATTCGGTTTCAGAGAGTGCTTTGTTGCAGTGTTTCCCAACCTTTTTTGTCTTTTGTACCTCCACAACCCCAAACAGTATAAAGACTACAAAATGTGTTCCTGTATACATCATTATTCAGGATATTAGTTGCCACTTTCATTGATATTTACAGTATAAATACAGTATTTACTGTACACATTGTATTGACTTTAAATGAATAGTAAATATGATAAGCATATTTAGTATAAGTAAATGATAAACATGAGATAAAAAGAAACCATGTTACGTTTAGTAAATTTTGTGGTGCTTTTATCCTGTCATTCTTTACATGCACAAATACAAGGCGTCTGCAGGTTCAGGTCTGTCAGTATTAGAATTGAGCAGAAATTAGAGAGGGGCTTCTGGGACATGAGATGTGGTGAAAGAAGGAATTTACACAGCAAAGCAAAGAGAGTATGCAACAAGGGAGGGGGAGATGTCACTGCAACAGTCTATGCTGAGTAGACTTATGTGCAGTTCTGGCACTGCGGGTTTGTACAGTATATAGCTCTTAGTTTTTATCATTTTTAAACTGAAAAGGCCTATACTGATGTTTCATTTTCTTCCATATAGACTAGCTTTCTGATTGGATGACAGCCACAGTCTGACATATACAATAGGGGATATTTACTCACGGTTTGGTTTTTATCACAGTTTTAGGTATACTAAAACTACAAGCAACTACAAGTACTAAAACTACAAGCAACAGCACCAAGTAAATACAATAGAGCAAAGACACAAATAAAATAAACAGCGCTTTTAAGGTTATTTAGGTATCTAACGGTAGTTTTCAGGTACAGAAACTGAATAAAGTAATCAATTGTAAAACAACATATCTTCAATGTATAAATTAAATAAAATAAAGTTATTATTTTTAAAGTTACAAAAGGTTTCCAGTCAAGAGCAGGAAGTGTTTTTTTTTTTTCACACTTACATACAATTAGAGTGGATAAGGTTAAATGCGTATTTGGCGTGCTGTCCGGGGGGAGGGCTCCGAGTTCGGAGTTTGGCCCAAACCCAGAATACTCCCCACTATGTAAGTGTTTAGGACTAGAAGTGTGGAGAAGGGGCGGTGGAGGGATGCTGCAATACTATCAATGGAGTGAGGTGAGATTGCTGAATCTATATATACACCTCATATCATTGATTGCTGGGTGCACTCCACTCGTGTGAATTAACTGAATGTGTTCCTCCCAAGCTTTGTTCAACATGTTGTTTGATTAACATTAAAAACATAGACACCAGGAATATTAGGCTGCAGTTACTTTAAGACATAATGCACATTCTTTTACCGAGAACAGACCCCTAGTGCGTCAGGTACATAAAAATAATTACTATTCTTTGATTTTTCTTCTTCTTTTTTTTTTTGCTATTTATAATAATTAAAGATACTCTATAATGGCAAAATGACAAATTAGGTCAAATTAAACATGGTATTAGATTTAAATGAAAGTACTGATGTCTTTATCAAAATAAACTTTGGTAGTGAACAAGCAAAGTGTCCACTATTGTGCAGAATATCATCCACTATTGTGCAGAATATCAATATCAGAATAAGAATTCCGAATTCTGAAATTCAGAATTCTGATAATATCAATATCAGAATATTGTGTCCACTATTGTGCAGAATATCAATATCAGAATAACCTTTTTTTTTTAGAATAAAGATCATTTTAATAACTTTTTTCCCCCACCATAAAGAACCTTTTGTGCAATGATGTTAAAGGTTCTTCAAGTAGCCTTGAAAACTAAAGCTGTATAAACTAAAGTCTGATTATTTAACGTGCACTTTGTGACACTGATTATGTTAAGATTACCAATCCACACGAGAGGAAGGTGGAATGCAATCTTTTTCTGTGTGATTCATGTGCAAGCATCTCGAGCAGCCTCTTCGTGGTTTTGGGTTGCGATGGCATCCACAATAATGCATTGACAGGGGGGGCGCAGAGATGCTATGTCAGTAGTGTGTCACGTGCCCACAAGCTCTCTGTCTCGCGCCACCGTCTGAGCCTCCTCCCTTATATCAACCAGCAACGGCAGCACACTGGATCAATTCGGATCAGCAATCATGCGGCCGCGCGGAGAATACGGTAAGGCAGCTGTGTATGTGTGTGTGTGTACAGCTGACAGCAGAACCGCCATTATATTTATGCTTTCAGACATCGTTGTGTGTTGCTCATCCCGCGGTCGGCTGAAGGCACGAGCTGAGGAGATGCAATTGTTGCGGGTGAACCAGATGCTCTTTGTCAGCGCTGTTGAGCCAGTCGGCATTTAGCTATTACCGCAGATTTTCCATTTAACCAGGCATTTGTGATAAGATGGGAGTCACAATGATGAATCAAAGGATTCCAGTTCCGATTCCTTTACGGTTCCATTATCTATTCTTTTAGTAGGCTATTCTCGCGGAAAATATAGCCTATTTGGGAAAAAAGGTGAAATCTTATTGCATGATGACTCTGGACAGTTTCAAATGATGACAATTCCTAAATATTTTTAAAGTATAGGACATACAGCTACTTTATAACAAATGTTCACTGACTAGGCTACTTCTTGTCGTCCGATTGCGTTAGGATGCTACATAAAATACTAAAAAACAAAAATGTTATTAATTAATTATTTTTTTTTTACTGAAGTAGCTACCATCTATTACATAGGCCTACCTCATATTGTGTATCACATGTTGTCATGCCAAAAGTAGCCATATCAATAGGCTACTACAGCAATAACAGCTCTTGTTTCGTCACCAGTTTCATATGACAGATGTTGCAATAGCCTACCGTGTTCAGAATGTGAATCAGATGATTTCAGCATCCGCTCCGATTAATAAAAGTATTTTATTCCTAAAATTAATCGGCTCGTAAGAGTCATTCCTTCGGGAATCGGATCACACTCGAGCTGTGTGTTTTTGATTCACTTAGAAGAACCGGGTTGGGAGTCAGAGTATACACTCGTACAGTCGTGGTACAGTCGAGAACTGTTCAGTCAAGTGTTCGTGTGTGCGTTTGAGAGATTTGAATGTTTTTTTCAATCCACAGCTCATCCTCGCGCCTCCCTCCCTGAACGAGGTCCTTAAATGACCCACGGCAACTAAGGAGCTCGCGCTTTCCCTGTCCGGATCATGGCATGCGCCCCATTCCGGACTTCCACACGCGCGGCGCCGAGGCTCGAGAGCAGTGAACATGGGGATCAGGTCCAGAAATGCCACTAACGCCGCCGAGGATTCACGCGAGCGGAAGAGCGCGCTGGCCGGAGACCTGGAGCAGTGCGCGGGGCAGGAACGGGACGGCGCGCTGCTTCTCGTCGGTTCGGTCCGGGAATCGGACTTCAAACGGGGCTCACAGAACATCGGTCTGCTCGCCAAGACGCCCCTGGGCTACACGCGTCCTGTGAAGAGGAATAATATCAGGACGCGACGGATCCAAACCCTCATCTACGACGCGCTCGAGAGACCACGAGGATGGGCGCTGCTTTACCACGCGTTTGTGTAAGTGGACCCGATTCATTTCACACCCAGAAGCGCCCACACACAGAGGGATCAGCCCAGTTAATTATACATTACAACAATTCAGTTTAATCCAATTTATTTGTACAGCCCTTTTTCATTGTTCCAGCAGCAGCCCCCTTAAAGGCAAAGACAACCTAATAAGATTCATAATAACTGATAAATTACCCAAATAAAGACATGAAATTGAATGCAAATACATAAAAATCCAATTTATGCCTTTACTGAATCTTGGCTGGAATTGATGTACACAAAGATGTAACCAAATACTCAATATCAGGGGAGCAAACTTAAAAGTAAACCCTTACTGGTTCAACACTAATCTGAATATTGAGGTTCTCCGTAATGTTTATGATGGTGTCCTCTGGTTTCAACTGAATAATAACTGTTTACGTTTGTCTTTTGATTATCATTGAATCGTTATTTTCCTGTTTATCTCTGCAAAGCTGCTTTAAAACAATGTGTATGCTGTAGAAATAAAGGTGGCTGTGTAGAGAGTGACAGCTTGCCTTTTAATAAGCAGGACAGCTGTGTTTCGATCACACTCTTAGTTTTGTAGTGAGCACTTTGTAGTGTATAATGTGCGCCCATTTGTGCTGGAGCTGTCCATGGTGCTGAGGCACAGCACAACCTCCAACTGCTACTGCCAGATTTGAGTGACCAGAAATCAAATCACTTATAGCTTTCTAGCTGCTGTTTGTTGTAGTATAACAGCTCCATACGCTCACCGTAGAGCCAGAGATACTGCCTGTTATCATCGTGGCGCTGAGATAAGGACACTGTGTGCTGCTGTGACACCGAAGTAAAGAGCTTGACAAAGTGCACAGGTCTGTGGAGCTGTCCGTGGTCCTGATACATGTATCGGTTGAGCGATTATACAGAAGTAACAGCATAGACAATGCATAAGTGATCCTTATCTTAGAAAAGCAAGAATGTTAATGTTGGTTAAGTGGAAATTGTTTTTTTGTAAGGCATTAGAGTGCAGATGAACAACTTCCTTTGAATCCCCAAGCTTGACACTAAACCTCTGTTGCCTACTCACACACAAACACACATTATTCATGGCCCATTTTCTATCCAGTGCTCTTAATGCCAGGATATGGATCGGTATCTGCATCTCATGAACACATATTTTCTCCAGTGTGTCTGTGGTTTCTCAGACTGAATCAGGGCTTTTAACCAGGCCCTCATGTGAGGTATTCCACACCATGTTAATGTGGATAATTGATTAAGAAATGCTTTATTTGCTGAAAAGTGTTGTGTGGTGAGTGTGGTGTGTGTGTCTGAATGTGTTTATTTTGTAACAATTTGTTGTTAATAATTCAACTTGCCCCCACGCTGCCTGACCAGTGTATCTAGAGGAAGGGATTCAATTAAGTTGTATTGGGTGGGGCCGTCCTATTATTCTGTTGGTCAACTTATGCTTTTTCTAATCCCGTTCTCTGCAGAGCATTGTAAAAACGAAAGTAGTCTAAAATAGGGTTTACTCTTTTAAAGATTTAATAATAATTATACTGTAAACGTACACACCAACACACGTATATAGGCCTACAGTACATACAGTATATAATTGCATAGTATTTATTTAGTATAGTATTTCTACAGCATATATTTATAGTATATAGTTATAATTCATTTTTATATATTAATTGATGTTTTGAGTCATTAAACATTTGATTCTCAGGCTGCACCTCTAGAGACGTAATTAGCTTTATTGCAGGATGGGTGAGCCCACTATTGGTAACTTCCTGCAGTTAATTGCCTTAGTTGTTCCCATAGCAATGGGGTGCTTACGGACGATAGGCTGATGTGAGAAAAAAGGTTACACTTTATTTTAAGCTGTCGGTAGTTGCGTTTCCATTACAGATTTGCGCAAAAGTTTTGCGATATTTTCTAAATGTCGATAAAAAATTATTGCCAAATGGCGACGTTTCCATTAACCAATGTTATGCGACTAAAACGTAATTTTTACGTACAGCATATCCCAGCCACCACACTAACTAATGATTTTTAATGGAAGAAGTTATTAAAGGAGAACTCCGGCGCAAAATGAACCTTTGGTCTAATAAAACATCGGTACCTAGTCAACCGTTCTCTGAGATTTGTTTTCATAATAATTGAATGTAAAGAGTTTTTTCTCAAAAAACTGTTTAGCGTATAATGCTAGTATATGGGGGCATTTAATAAGTATAAATCGGTCTTATTAATCGGTCTGTACACTTACAAAGTTCTCAATGCTTCATTTTGTATGTAGGGACCCTCATTATGTTACTGTGTTAGTGTGGGGCTATTTTGAGCCATGTTAGTGGTAACTAGCGATTTCTTTTTACTTATTATATGCCCCCATTTACTAGCGTTATACACTAAACAGTTTTTAGAGATAAAAATCTTCACATTCGATTATCATGAAAACAAATCTCAGAGAACGGTTGACTAGGTACCGATGTTTTATTAGACCAAATGTTGATTTTGCATCAGAGTTCTCCTTTAAAGTGCTTGTTATCCAAGCATTAATGGCAAGGAAATCCCCTTATACTGGGGAGCAGCCACATAAGAGAAGTTTTTCTCTCCAATCTGTTTCAAGATCTTGATAAATTGTGGCATTTATTTGTTGTTTATAATCCAGTATGCCTGTAATACTTTGGATCCATCTGGATCCAACTCCTCCCCCTGGATTTCAGGTTCTCCAGCTCCAATTTGAAGGGTAATGGAAACAAGGCTATTGTTACAGTGCAATTATATATTTTAGTACTGGGTCATATTAATTAACAACATGTACTTACTATAGGGTAAGAGTATGATTAGGGCTTGGTTGAGGGTTAGTTGCTTGTAATTATATTTTATTGTTATTACTATGTAAGTACATGTAACAGAAGTACCAAGGACACTGTAAAGAAAAAAGTGTTACCAAGAAACTTATATCAGGCCAACACACTCTTTACTTCTCTGTCTCATATTGGGGGACGTTTACTCGACACCTTTTTATTCGTTTTGGCCGTACACAACAACATAATTTTGGGGGTCTGAAAATGCAAAGGTTTGAAAACAGGTTTCACAGTGGAAGTTATAGGCCTACGTCACAAAAAATTGAAGACCGGAAATACGTCTTTTAGTAGGGATACGGCTCTTTCAGTTAGCTTTTAGTTTTTACAATTGTGGAGTCTGACAGATACCGCTAGACCAAATCTCCGCAACCTGCCTGAAGTCACATATGATGCTGTGGTTCGGATGGTAAATGAAAACTCTCAAGTGGGAAAGTATGAAAGCTGAGGTATGGCTGTCTACGTCCTGATGCAGAGCAACCGTACAGCTGCGGGTAGCTCTAGCCGTTCGCCAGTAAGGTAAACATTTCTATGCTAACAGCGAGTTAAACCAAACAGCAGACGTTGCTGCTACGCTTAGGGCCCATTTAATGCTCAGCAGCGCCCCCTTTGATGTAGGCTCAATGCAATTTTAACTACCCAGGAATCCTTGCGAAAAATGCCAATCAGAAAACAGATGGGATTTCGGTCACGGCTGTAACACATGAATATTTAATTATCATTAAGATAATTTAGAGAATTAAGAGAATATTTAAGTATCATTATGGTTTTTATGACATTGGCGTACATTTTACCAGTTACTTACAGTTTATACAAATGTTATCAACCAATGGTTGATATCTCTTACATCTGAGCTATAAAAATAATACGATCGCGCTATGATTCATTACATAAATAGAATCGAATGTCATGGCTTTACTGAGTCATATAAACGTAGTATGAATATTGAGACCTATGCAGTTTTCATAAACTCATTTTCATTTTGTGTTAAAATTGAGAGTTATGTACAACTGCATTATCATTTACATAACCATGACATCTGTTCAAATGCCCAGGTGGCATACAATTATATAACTGTAAAAGCAGGTTGTGTAGTTCACATGGACATAAGGATTTAAAATAAATCCTGTTTTCAATACTAAAGACTGTAATTTTTTTGAATGATATTTGTGATATTTTTCCAATAAAGGGACTGATGAGATGACCTTTAAGTTTATTCAGCTCTGTATGGAGAGGGATAAGGCCTTCACAGGCATGAGGAATGCATCTGAGTGCAAAAATATGATATCTCTGCATGGAAAGACTTCTTGCAAAAACGAAAGTAAAAACAATAACAACAATCGGCAGCATATCGACCCGCTGTCCAACAACAACCAGACCTTCTTTCTGTTTCCGGCGTGACGATCGAGTCTGTCCCAATGCGCCCTCACAGACTCGCGTTAAGGGCCCTATTAGGTCTGCACTACATGACTTCACCGAAGTGTGGACTCTGAGGAAGTCCACAAGACCGGAGTGTGCCATTTGGGACAGGGCCTTCGTTTCTCCAGGTTTCATTTCAAAAACCTTCGTTTCTCAAACTCGTAGCTCGTGGTCAGTCTACCTCAGATGGTTTAGACATTAGGGCTGATAATCTAAATCCTTATCGAGAAATACTGTTGACCGGAAGTTCTGTATCCCTACTCCGCATTCCGGAAGCAGGAAGTGTGACATAGGCCTATTGAAAACAATAGCGTTATTGTCTCTGTGTAAACTACATGTGGTAAGTGTCTAGTGTATAAGTGCGTAGTGTTTCTTTACAAAGTGACATCGCCAACTACTAGCCTGGCATGTATAATACAGCGTTTTTAGTAGTTTCCGCTGATCCGTGTGAACAGGGATCATTTTGACAACGTTATTGTCTGTTCGCAAAAAAAAAAAAAAAAAAAAACGTTTTTAGTATATCATTATTGTGTAAATGTACCCTAGTTTGAAAAGTTGTTTCTGACAAGAAAAAAACTGGATTTAAACATACATAGGAAATAAACGATTGGGTGAGCGAGGGTGGGGGTTGCTTGTGGAGAATAGAATAGAATCAAGTAGAATAGTGTATAGAATGTAGCAATAGTAGTATGGGATCAGCGGTGCTGCTTAGCTCAGTAAAAAAGGAGAGGTTTTGGGTTT